GTAGAAATTGTTTAAGCCTTTTTATACTCTTTAAACGTTAAGTTTTTGGCCGTTCACACCAAGTTCAACAATAAATTAAAGTCGACAACATAGGAACTTAGCTAATATGCAAAGAGATAATACGGAAATAATGAGATTTTTTCTCAAAAAGAGGTTTGAAAAAAATCTCAGTTCATTTTTATGTTTATCTGAAAGTCTTTTGTCACCATCCGAGAGTTGGTGCGACACTTTTGAATCACCCTGTACATGGCATATTATACAAAATTATTGATTCTCTTTAAAATTTCATAGAAAAGAAGAGTTATTTTAGTTTTCAATCATTCATTAATGTATTAACAATAATCTAGCATAATAAAGGCCATCGTAATTTTACTTTGTTGTTATATGAACGAAATCATTCAAAAATGATTTTGTTATTTGAAAAACAATTAATAAATGAAATTATAAATAAATCACTGCTACCATTGATTTCCTGCACGTAATAATATTAAATTTCAAAATATTGTAATACTCACAATGGCAATGTCATATTTAAAAAAAAAATCAAAAATGAAAACTAACTATAACTGTCCATAATAAAATATTTAGGGGAAAGTAGCTTTCAAACAACAGACTTGTAATACGAGTATGTTGTTTCAATCACTATTGAAATTTTATTTTTGTTTGTGGTTTCTGGTTTCTGGTCATAAAGAACAATGGTTTGTTTAATTACCTATATGTTTAAATTGTCATCGAAACACACTGAAGCTTAACTAATACTTGAAATATATTAATTTGTCAAATGTTGATGAGCTTAGAACGTCATGTTCTATTGAATCAATTACATTTTATTTAAGCATGAGGCATTTATAGTTATGTAATTGTGTAAAATTTGGGAAAATTGAATAAAGCTGGAAAATCGTTGCAAACTCCTATAAATATTTGAAACTTGAAATTGTGCTTTGTTTGTGTTCAAAACAGAAAGACAAAATAGCCACTTTATAATTCAGATGACAATGTTTACGAGAAGTAAAATGGGGAATAATAATTTTAATCAATTAGTTGCGGTTAGAATTTAGAAATATTAATTTTCATCTTCTTCATTTACATAATCAATTCGTGTTTATGGACACTTTGTGACATAATCGTTAATAATAGTTTGAAAATAATTATTAGTCATGCAGAATTCGGAATGAGGTTAAATGCGTTCCTGTCAACTAAAATTAAATTTTATGGGAACATATGTTCGTTGTTAGGAAGCGATCGTTTTCCAGTTATTAATTCTGGAAATTTTATGGATGCTCCCGTATTTACAAAGACATTATTTAAATTGTTCATCTTGACTAAATGCTCTTGAATTTTACCGCACATCATTCGAAAATCTCAAACTGACTTCATGTTATCCAGAAGTACCTATAGTAAGATGACTACAAAAGGCAAACAGCTATATCGCGTTACTAGATGCAATATCACGGCAAATTCTGCTGGAGTAGGGCTTTGTGATATCCTACACCGCCCCATGTGAAGAGGCGGAATATTCGACAATAGCAGTCCCCAATCCTGCAAGAACCCTCTGAAAATTGATTTCGATTTGGTTTAGAATATCACAAAATTTACCCACAGACAAGATATTTGATTTTTAATGTTAGTGACAATGTCGCTGGAAGGAAATTGCATTACTTATATTCTTTCGCCTAAAAAAAGTTTTATTTATCAATACCTTATGCTTGTAGATATGCTGATTTTTTTTATGTTTGAGTCACCGCCTCAGTTTCAAATCGTTTTAAATTCAACCAGTTTACTAAATGCTTGGAAAAAAATGAAAAATGTTGAGGTTAAGGTGTGAAAAACAGACGACTAAATTTTTCACGAGAAATATGAGAAAAAAAAATTCAAAATTTAAAATCTGTGCTTCGTTTCACGTTTTTCAAAATGTTGCGAATACGGTTAAAGGTACAAGAAAAATGTAAGAAAGAAAGTTGTAGAGAATACAATTTTTTAAAATTTGTGAATTTCTCACTTCTTTCCATTCCATAACATTCTTTTTAGCACCACCTGGGACGTCATAAAGTTTGTTGGTCAAGATATTCCATGCATTTTTAGTTTTTTGTAATTTATTTGGATTGAACTTCGCAGATAATAAGAACTTATTTCTTCAAGAAAAGACACTTTTTGAACGTTTTTTTACGGAGCCTTGTCGAAATAAAATGACAAATAATTTAAAGGTCACTAATGAACTTTTTCAACTCGCTGGGATACTCTGTATATTTGGATTATTGCAATACCGCTGAGAAAATTTTACTTTGAAAAAAATATACAGGAAGTTTTTTGTTTGTTTTTACTACGCCCGTTCAGAAATTGTTTAAAAGGTAAAAAAAATTATAATATTTTAGCCATTTTAGTTTTGAGAAAAATAGTTTCAAATAATATCCATACGTACGTTGCTACACCTAATCAGATGATGTGAATTATGGCCAAAAGCAAATCTGATAAATTTTAAAATATCGACTTTATATTTTATTTATTAAGTTCATTAAAAACCAATGGGTCACTGCCATATACGAAAACACTCCAGGGCTTGTAAAAAATGATGTTTGCCCATTTTTCTACAAAACAAATCTATCTATGTAAAAGATTATAGGTAATTTCAGAAGATTATTTCGAACTAGTTCCGTGGACTCGTTTTTTATATATTTGGTCATTTAATTTTTATTAGCTCGTTCTAATATAACAATAATTATACAATTTGTCCTTAATATAAATATCGTATGTTAAATCTTAAAAAAATATTTCGACTACTTCAAAAAATTTCAAAAAAGAAATTGAGTTGCACCCACACGAAATTATGTAATAAAAAAGATAATTGTGTTTACACAAAATTTAAACTTACCATAAATAAGAATCGTTTAAATGCAAATAATTAACTAAGACAAGCAAAAATCACATAAATTTTAAAATTCATTATTACAAAACCAGCAATGTATGTGAATACATATTTATTGTTTGGAATGTTGAATTTTTAACTAGTGTGTTTTCTCATTTAGACAAATAATGATTAGTGATTACATTTCATTACATTTAAAATAGATTTATTTTATTTGCATGTTTGATTGTTACCAAAACCTTCCTTTAAAACTAAAATACTATTTTCAAAACGCTATCTTCAGAAATTCCATTGTGGTTTTGAAAGACCATTAATCACACACATGGCCATAATTCACTCATCCAATAGTGACCTATTGGTAAAGACCAATCTACCATAAAAATAGTCCCAGATTACGGAGAACTGCATACTAAAATGCTCGATTTTTTAGACCCAAAAAAGTAGTACGGCGGAGTAAAAATGAGAGGGCTAGAGCGTTTTACCGTCTCAGTTTCAAATTGTTTTAAATTAATTTAAATTCAACCAATGCACTAATTGCTTGGAAAAAAATGCAAAAATGTTGAGCTTCACATTCTTAATAAGCTGTGACAACCGAACGACTAAATTTTTCACGAGAAATATGAGAAAAAAAATATTTAAAATCTAAAATCTGTGCTCCGTTTCATGTTTTTCAAAATGCTGCGAATGCGGTTAAAGATACAAGAAAAATGTAAGAAAGAAAGTTGTAGAGAATAAAATTTTCTAGTAAAAGGTCCGAAACCATACCTCTGTCTTTAATGGTTTAGGCCTCAAAGATGTTCAAAGCCGCTCAAGCGACGGATTCGTTTCACTTTTACTGTTGATTCAGTGCCAGAGGAACACTTTAAAGCAATTTAAGCCTAAACCGTTGAAAATAGAAATATGGTGTCGCGGACTTTTTTGTAGCAAATTTTATTCTCTACAATTTTGTTTGTTACAATTTTTTTGTATCTTTAACCATATTCGCAGCGTTCTCAAAAATAAAAGGCGGAACGCGAATTGATAATTGTTTATAATTTATTTTTAATATTGTTTCGATATTTTTGAGAACGCTGCGAATACGGTTGAAGATACACAAAAAGTGTAAGAAACAAAGTTGTAGAGAATTAAATTTCTTACAAAAAAGTCCCAAAGACTATATCTCTATCTTCAACCGTTTAGGTTTAAATTAATTTTCTGTCTCTTGACCACCGGTGACACTTGAGCGTCTTTGAACGTTTTTAGGACCTAAACCATTGAAGATAGAGGTATCATCTCGGAGACTTTTTTCTTGGAAATTCTATTCTCTACAACTTTCTTCTTTATATTTTTCTTGTATCTTTAACCGTATTCGCAGTATTTTCAAAAATATGAGACGGGGCACAAATTGCTAAATGCTTGAAATTTTTCTAAATATAGTTTTCAATAAAATTTTTGCATTGTCATCTGTCTATATTTTTTTATTTGCGTTGTGCTTAAAAAATTCTATCTATAAAAATTTCGAAGTTAAGATTTTACATGGTCGAAATTTTTGGCAGACAGAATTTTTAAAACATTTTTTTAATGTTCCTGGTGTCTCAATTAATTACAAAACACCCTGTAGAGTGTTAATAAAAGAATGTTTTTCGCAAAACTTAATGTGGACTGAAAGAGTAAAATTTAGTTTCTAAAAGTTGGAAATGGTGATTTTTAGCGGTGTTTTGAGCGATTTCTCTTTTTTTAGTTTGAGTATAAAAGTTTGGGTGTTAAAAAGCAATTTTTTTTAAATTCCGTTTCCTTAAAATAAAAAATACAACAAATTTGGTTGAAAATCGATTTCCGTTTGGTTTAGAATTTCAAGACTAGGCCTATAGAAAGGATCTTTTTAAATTTAGACCTGATTGTGCATCGGAATTGTGAGAAATCAAATCGAATTAATAAAGCACCTAAAGTTATTAACTATAATAAATTCCAATTACTGTAGCAAATCGCTGCTTTTCACGCCAAACATTCCGCCAAGAAAGCACGTATTGTGAATTCAATTCATCAAGAATAATAAATAGAAGCGACCTTCCGGAGTATAAGTCGGTGCTAGGTACAACTTGAATTAGTGGCGGCACAAAACATTCGAACTTTAATAATAGCAACTTGTTTATTGCAGAGGCCCAATGCAGACACGATGAGTTCCTCTGTCGTCGTTCCAACCAATGCATCCCATTGCAACAACGCTGCGATGGCTACAGAAACTGTCCCAATGATGAAGACGAAATCGACTGCACCGGTATGACTTTTACGTTGGTAGCACTGTGCATGCCTTGGGCTTTAAAAGCTTAAAATAAGTGTGCTTTTGAAATTTATAGCATGATTTACAGTAATGAAATTTGTGTTTTGTTCGATTAGTGCATCTTGTTATGTAGGATTTGCTCACTTTTACACAACAGAACAAACTTGTGACAGTTAACATTTTGCATGTTCACACAACACAGACCGATGCGGTGATGACGAATTCACGTGTCAAAATGGAGATTGTGTCCCAATATCAGCAAAGTGTGATTCAAAATACGATTGCAACGATTTGTCCGACGAACGAAATTGTCGTAAGTGTTTATTTACTCGAAAAACTCGTTTTTCTTGTCTTAATTTCGAATAACAATTCCAACCATTGGTTTCGCTCTCTATTGTTTCTGACCTATAATCCAGCCCCCATGTGTTTGTGGACTTTTACCCCCATCTTGATTAATCATTTAAAGGAAGAAATACCATCAAGCTACTTAACTTTATCTCATGTTTATCTTAATATCTCCCAGTTCTAGGATTTTTCCCATTTTGGTGTTGTAAATAACACTTCAATCTGACTAATATTCCTGAACAGTCGTATAATGTGTTTATTTCCAGCGTGCAAACCGACGGATTTCCGATGTGACAATGGTGTTTGTATCCTTCCCCATCTACGATGTAATGGAATTCATAACTGTCAGGACAAATCTGATGAAATTGGATGTCCTAGTAGCCCTAGTACGCAATTTCTTTTATTTCTTTAAAGTAGTAGCAACTGATAAAGCTCAAATTATTATTAAAGAAGGGTGGCGGTAGTAGAGGTGATGGTTTTGGTTTCGTATGAAATACTGTTTAGTCAAGGATCCCACTTTCTTTTTTGCACTAATATTACCGTTGCGATCAAAATACTCTACCAGAAAATTCAAGGAACAAAAATATTTCGTAAATTTTTTATTGATATTTCAAAAAATGGTCGTATCAAGATTTGAAAAAACCATTTTGAAGCTTAAAATTGTAAAGAAAGTCTCATTCTGATGAAGATTAGACAATATTCAGGAACAATATCTGCAATTGTTTGCAAAACTTTGAACAAATGGTTCGAGAAAATGGTTCAATGGATCGTTTTAAAAATTTACAGGGGGTACATTAAGCTGTAAAAACGCCTAAAAACATTAGTCTCTATTAGTGGATACGAGGTAGATCTACTAATACAACGCGAAAAGTTACTTTTTTCTTTAAATCAATGTTGAGGGTGAAAAACAAAATTTTCGAAAACGTAAAGAGAATATGAAAAAAGCATATTAAAGGTAAATAGACATGCTTTCCGGCCCATGTATTGACTTAACTAAAAAAAATCAATCCTCTAATCCAAAACCAAAATTTAGAATTTTTTTCTCGCGCTGTTAAAAAATTTGCCAAAAGATCTCAAAACTAGAAACTTAAAGCTTCAAAATATTTTTTTTTTCGATGAGATACCTCCTTTCAAATATCACCAAAAAATGTACGAAATATTTTAGTTCCTTTAATTTTTTGGAGTAGTATATAAACAATGGTTTTGTCTTTGACGACGTTTTTTGAAGCTGTAAATTTAATAGATCTGTACCTCAGAGCGAGCCCAAAGTCCAAAATGCTTAATATTCAGAAATAATTGAAAACAAAAATTTCTAATTAGAATCTAATGTCACAATTTTACATAACATTTCAGAATGGTTATGATGTTCTGGTACATTTTTTTGTAAGTGGATCTAGTAGATTAACAAAGAGATATTTGATTTTGTTTTATTTATAATTAATAAAAGGCACTACAAGGTCTTAATACTTTAGTGCCCTAATATTTATTTTTTTTTTAAATATGCAAAAAAGCTAAAATAACTTAAGTCCAAAGTGGAAATTATTGTTCCATAATGAGATTTTTTTAACAATATATTTATTAACTGGGAAAGTTAATTGTCTTCCAGAAAATCTTTAGCATTTTAAATAAAGAAAATTTCTGTGATATTTCTCTATCGTATTTTGCTTTACTGTCGGGTTTTTGTTCATTTCTAAGTTCAAGGAGTAGGTAATTATGGCAAATTTAAAGGTTTTCTTGGTTTTCTCCTTAAATTGAAATTTAAAATTTTCCGAAAATCCGAAAAAATTCATATAATTTATAAATAAATTAGCTTTTATATCCACATTTTTTTTTTGAAACACAAGAAATAAAGCTACCAAAGTCCAAAAAGTCTTCTAATTTGTCTTCTGTATGTATTTGTACATTATCTGGGGTTTTGTTTAGGGAATTTTTTTTCCTCTTTGATCAGCTATGATTATTCCGGTTGTGAAACATTTTTTTGAGAGCTTCACGTAAAAATTCAGTACTAATCAACAATGTATAAGAAAAACTTTTTTTCCAAAAATCCGTAAAAATTTGTTGGTACTGCTCTACACTAGTTCAAAATTTTTTTTTTTTTTGTTGATTTTTGAAAGGCTGTAACTCATCGAAAAATGGTCGTATCTAGATTTTTTTAAAACCATTTTGAAGCTCTAAGTTTTTAGTTTTGAGATCTTTTGGCAAATATTTTTTCTGTGCTACGATTATCACGCAATCCTAAATAATAACGCAAGAAAAAAATTCTAAATTTTGTTAAGATTTACTGAATACGCGGTAGATTTACTAAAGCAACGCAAAAAGTTACTTTTTTTCTTTTCTTTAAACCAATGTTAAAGATAAAACAAATTATTTTCCAAAAAATAAAGAAAAGATGAAGTAAGCATATTAAAGGTAAACAAACATCCAAACAATCCAAAACCATAGAAATTATTTTTTTTTCCTTGTGCTATTACTTAGAATTGCGTAATAACCGTAGCACAGAAAAAATATTTGCCAAAAGATCTCAAAACTAGAAACTTAAAAATGTTTTTTTTAAATCTAGATACGACCATTTTTAAAAAATCACCAAAAAAATTGGGAAAATTTTTTGTTCCTTTAATTTTTTGGAGTAGTATATTATTAACGATTTGCATTATTTTATTCCGATTCAAATTACTACATGGTGATTTTATGTTTTTTGCTTCCACAATATATTCTTTTTTACTTAGATGCAATTCACCTCTCTTTGGACTTAATACTTTGTCGCTCTAACATTACCCTGGACTTAAACATTTCAACATCTGTTATTTTGTTAATTAATGCCCATTGCAAGATTTTAATCATTTTTTGAAATGTATTACATATTCACTTTTAACTCTTATTTATTTTTTGAAAAAAAATGGACTTTGGCTGTTGTCGCTCTCAGGTTCAGAAATGTTATCTAGACCAAATAAAACTTTTAATTTTAGAACAATTTTTGATTACAAGAGCGTGAGATGCTGTCTCAAAAGCGACTGAAAATGCAAATGAAAGAGACTTGGATCTTTAACTACTAATGAGTCTGTATTTCATTCGAAGTTTAAAGCTTGAACGTTGCATGAGACTCATATTAGGGCCTTGGCTTTGGACTACCCATTACGTAGTTGTCTTTTTCGCTTAGTTTGAGTTCATCACAAAGTCCGGCCAAGACGCAACGTTTTTTTTTTGTGGCAACTCTAATTGATTCAAATTTAGGACCAGGAACTCCTGATTACAACTATTGCACTTCCGATCAATTTAAATGTAGAGAGGGTAATTGCGTTAGTTTGTCGAAACGCTGCGACGGGAAACCCGATTGTCTTCAGGGCGACGATGAGGAATCTTGCGGTTAGTTTTTCAAATTTTAGGGTCATGTGTGGGTAATTATCTGATTTTGAAACCGCACATGATCTTCAAGCCAAAATCACCTCGTGGGCTTTATCATGCTAATGCTTTCTCATGCCACAGCTTTATGCCGTTCTGACCAATTCAAATGCAAAAGTGGCCATTGTATTGATGCGCAGAATCGTTGTGACAATTATAGCAATTGTCCGGATGGTAGTGATGAAATAAATTGCAATGGTAAGGACACAGTTCTCTCCCTGTTTTCACTTTCGTCAATCTCGTTTCTTCTCTGTTCTTGTAGTTGTGGCGTTTTTAGTTAAACTCCTTTTCCTTTTTCGCATCTGGCTTTTGTCTTTCATAGTTGCTCTAGGAGTTTTGTCCTCTTATTATTTTTTATCAATTTGCCTAGTTGTAAGTGTTTTAGATTATAAGCACACCACACAACATTAAACACATTCTAATCACATAATTATGCATGTTTTTGGTAATTGGATGGGGCATGCAGGAAAAACAATGCACTGTTTACCAAACACTTGGACATGCCACGACAAACTTAAGTGCATTAAATATAGTAGATATTGTGATGGAATTCAAGATTGTGAAGATAATAGCGATGAAAGATTTTGTTCGACCCCCTCAAAAATTGTAATAAAAGGTAAAAAATCATTCACACAGGTAAATTCATCTGTGTGACTGATACAATTGGGAACTTGTGTCAAAAATTCTCTATTTGTTTCTCGGATTTTTTCTATTACAATACTACTACGAAAAATTTTACATTTAACACCTCAAATGTGTTTTAACTTTGTGATGTCAGTTTTACTAATTTTGTTGTACCGGTTTATGGCTGTAGGGTATTGTGTCGTTATTTTGGGACGGTAACGTGGAAAATTTTAACTAATAGCACGATGTCTGTTCTGAAATTTGCAAGAAATTTATTTTCAAGTCGTTCGTTTAGGTTTTCCGCAGAGTATATGTCCCGAAGGTGCATTTGAGTGTGCTGCCGGTTTTTGTATCATGGACTACAAAAGATGTAACGGTATAAAAGACTGCCCTAGTGGCAATGACGAGGACGGTTGCCCAACAACCATAACACCTGTAACACCTGGTATGTGTAACAAAAACTACATAGCACCACAAACGTCTATATCTATTGTCGTATCAACAAGAAACTACTGACTAGGATTTAGGGATATTTGTGAATAGGTTGCCTAGATTGGTTTTTGGTAACAAACAAAAGATATCGAAACCAGTGTCAAAATTTAGGTTGAGCAGTGTTGTGAAATGTTAGTCTGGTGATTTGGTGAAAACTTTTGTAAAAATTCTAATATCTGGTGATTTTTTGGAATTGAAAAAAACTGTTTTTCGAACATTTTCCACGTTTTCAATCAGAAACATTATTCGAACTAGAAAAATTTACAAGATTGTATTAAACAGGATCGAAAATGACAATTTATTTTTATACTTTTTCAGCTAGAAACACAATTATTTCGCAAAATTTCGTTAAAAACAATCCAAAAATACAGCAAATGCGACCAAAAACGGCGTTATTTTTGCCCTTTTCAACTGTTTAAGCACGTTTTTGAGATGAAAACAAAGAAAATTCAAATGTTTCTTTGAAGCAGGCAAAAACTTACAAAATTAAATCGAAATTGATATTATTTTGCTTGTTTTGCTTCGTTTTTGAACCAGAGGCTCATTTATTTTGCAAAATCTTGTCCAAACACTCTTAAAAATCACAAAAACAATTGATGTTAAGTTTATTTTGTTTGTTTCATTTGATTTAACTGTTTTTTGAGCAAAATCAACACAAGTTTTTCAGAGAATTTCAGAACGTTTTTCAGCTAGAATCGCAATTACTTCGTAAAATTGTTTAAAAACAAGCCAAAAAAACACAGAATTAGGCCGAAAATGATATATTTTTTTCCTTTTGGAACGTTCAAGCAGTTTTTTAAGTTGAAAACTGTTTTTTCGTGAGAGTTTGCGTGTCAAAAATCACTGAATTGTTATAAAAAATTATATTATATTTTTACCTAACTCTTATACTGTAACATGATTATTTCGTTAAATTTTCTCGAAAAAAAATATTGAAAACCACCAAATTGCTTAAAAATAGTTCTATTTGTTTTTTACTAGATATTACAGAGTCGAAAATGGCAACTTATTTTTGTCTTTTTCGAATGCTTTTTCAGCTAGAAACACAATTATTTTTCAAAATTTTATTAAAAACAACGCACAAAATAGCCCAAAAACATCGTGTTTTTTTTGGCTTTTTTCGAGTATTTAGAGAGATAAAAACACAAAACGTTCGATATATTGCATTGAAACAGCCTAAAAAATTACAAAATTAAATCGAAATTAATATTATTTTTAGCTTGTTTCGCTAGACTTACTTCGTTTCTGAACTAGAGGTTTATTTATTTTGTCCAAACACTCTTAAAAATCACAAAAACAGTTGAAACGCAATTATTTTGTAAAATTGTTTAAAAACAAGCAAAAAAAACACAGAATTAGGCCAAAAATGATGTTTTTTTCCTTGTTGAAAGTTGAAGCAGATTTTTAAGTTGAAAACTTAGAGAGTTTGCGCAAAAACAACGCACAAATTTGACAAAATAGCTCAAAAACGGCGTTTTTTTGCCTTTTTTGAGTATTTAGGGATGTTTTTGAGAGATAAAAACACAAAAAGTTCGATATATTGCATTGAAACTGGCTAAAAAATTACAAAATTTAATCGAAATTGATATCAATTTTTAGCTTGTTTCGCCCGACACAAAAGTTGGCCGAAAATGCTTTAAGCACGTTTTTGTACTAAAATCTCAGGTTTTTCGCTAGATTTCGCTAAAAAAAAATAAAATTACTGCACTTCCCGAGCATTGAACACATGTTTCACCTAGAAACGCAATTATTTCGCAAAATTTTGTTCAAAAACAGCCCAAAAATCACAGAATTAGGCCGAAAAGCATGCCATTTTTCCTTTTTTTCAAGAGTTTAAGCAGATTTTTAAGCTGAAAACTGCCAAATTTTCAACTTTTTTTGATCTGGCAACACTGAGGTTAAGACACCTGTCAGCTTGTATAGATAATTCAATTGATAGTCAACAACAACCTAGGCATTCAAAATTACTTTTGAAAATTCTAGTTACAAACAACATGATAAATTCTAGGTGGTAATTTTTTGAAAATTGCAGAATTCCTTTTGATATAGACGATTGTGCTACCAAATCCACCGCTTCTTGCATCGTGCAGTGCACACTAATCTTATTTCTGTAATTGTTTTTAATTTTTAACACATTTTTGTCCATGCTTCTTTGCTTTCGATGTGGCAGAGCCATCATGTGCTTCAAGCGAGTTTCGTTGCAACGACGGCCGTTGTATCGATATTAGCTACCGCTGCGACGATATACCAGACTGTCGAGATAAATCTGACGAAATAAATTGTTATTCCATTGGTGGTGGGTATTTTTTTGTTACAAAACCTAAGATTTTTGTCTTAAATAGGGAATTTGACTCTAAAGACTTTTACTCTATTACCACACAACCCAACAAGTCTACTAACACACACATTTGACCCTTTAGTAACATTTTAACCGTAATATTCGTTTAGCTTGTCCCGAAGACGAAATTCTATGCAACGATGGTTCCTGCGTGAAAGGGCAAAAGTGCGATCGTTCTTTCGACTGTCCCGATGGTTCTGACGAAACCGGATGCAGTTTTTGTTCTCCTGATCAGTTCCCTTGTCAAGGTGGGGGCTGTATCGCTGAACATTTACGTTGTGACGGTACAATACATTGCTCTGACGGGTCCGATGAGCAAAACTGCGGTATGTCGGCTTGATTTTAGCTCTTCATCCAAGCTGTTCGCTACCATTACCCTTCTTTCTCAATGTTTTGTGAACCTTTTCTTGTTCTTCTTCTGGTTCTTAGACTGTTTTAATTTTTTCGTGTGATTCTATTAACCTTTTACGTAGAATGTAGAAGGCAAAAATGTGTCTTAGATTCAGCCCTGTTTTACTATTTTTTGGTTTGCGTTTAGTTCACACATGTCCACCAGACCAATTTCGGTGTGGTAACGGAGTATGCTTAGATATTCGACGTGTTTGCGATAGACATCCTGATTGTCCTGATGGTTCCGACGAGCAGAATTGTACTGGATCTTTGCCAGGCCCTGATGATAAGAGTATGTCTCGAAAAAGGACTTTTTGTAGATTTTAGAGACATATCTTACCTTACTTTTAATTATACTAAAACTTATATTTAGTGTTTTTATCCTAACCTTTAACTTACTTCACAATAAACACTGGAAGTCCAATGGAGAGGTTCTGATTTAAATTACACTACCCAACAATTTTTTTTTTTTGTGATTGATCTATTGACACGTGTATTAGGGTACATGAACATCCCTAATTACGAATTTGATAAGAAAAATTCTCCATCGCGTACAGATTTTAAGTTAGAGGAAAATAGTTTTCTCAAATTTTACCGTAAAAATTGTTCATTTCAAATAGAAATTAATTAAATAGACGACGAAAATTAATTTATTCATTAAACAAGAACAATGTTGAAAGATGTTAAGATTCTAACATAATCTGTTGTAGATGAGTTTTTTGCAAAAGCTGACTTCCTTTTGTAGGGTGTTTTAACTTACCTTATCAGGAACCAGATCCCATCTCCCTTGCTACCTCTTTTCCATCGTCAATATATCCTGGTGGAACCTTTCCCCTTGCTCGTCACTAACGGCACCCAAATTTGGGGGAAAAAATTTAATGAGAATGGAGAAAATGAATTTTAAGTGTTTCGTTTTTCGGCGATTTTGTCGAACATACTTACGTATAATATCTTAAAATGCCTAATTTTAAAATTTGGCGTGCTATGGAATTTTCTTTATCATTTTTGAGTTTAACACATAGAATTGAACAAAAAATAACTGTTTTATTCTCAGTCATAAAATGCTTATTGGCTAGTGTTATCCTTAAATGATCATCTGAAATAGTGTTGAATAAGTGAGAAATTAAAAAATCATTATAATTACGAGAACGGAAGATTAGAACACGAGCGCAGTTAAATTATTATTATTTTTTTATATTAGATATTTTTGGGTTTGTGTTATTATTTATGTAAAAATTTTACACGGAACATCTCACCGAACTTCCTTCGTGTCCTAGATTATTCAGTTAACACATTAACAATCTTATTGGGTACCCAATTAGATTAAACACCAACATTATTTTAAATGTAAAATATCTTGATGACGTAATTTTCAATTTGATTGGATACCTAACATTGTAATCAAACACATTGATCTCAAATATTTTTAACATAAAAGGGGACGGTTTACAATTTTAATGTAAAAAGAAAATTTCTAATATACAGGCTGTCTCAGCGAATTGAAAAAATCTTCTGACCTTTAAATGGTATAATTTAAAAAAAAATTGTATAAGACATTGATAGATACTAATCTAGTCCATCGCTTTTAAAATTATTTTCAACTATACAGCGTGTCTCAAAAATAAGTTACCATATGTATCTTGACATTTTTGGATGTAGGCAATTAAAATTAAAAAAAATGTTTTTACGCTTATCTTTTATTAGTCGATTTCGCTTAGTTTTAGAAATAAGACGTTTTTTTGACGAAAACATGCACTTTTTAAAAATTTATTACACAAAAACTAAGACAGCTAGAACAAATTTTTCCTTAGTTATGCAAAGAAGAAAGTACAGAATTTAAAGCTGTAACAATTTTTTACTGTTTTGCATTTGTAAAGATTAATAAATTAAGAAGTTTGTTAAAAGTTAAATAACTTAGAAAATTTAAACGGAACACCTTATTTTTTATTTTTGCTAATCACTTATCCGTTGATTTATCCAGAGATTGTAAAAGTTGTTATAAATACTGAAATTCGAATTATTTTATTATAAAAATAAAGAATAATGGATTCAGTTTAACACAAATGTGATTATTAAGTCATATTTCTTCCATCTCTTGTGCAACTGTGCACTTTTTGGCTACTGAAACAATAGTATTTTTTTTAATGTTTTTCGTTAAATATCTTTTTAGTTATTGATTATAAACACCTAAAAGTAAATAATTTTAGAAAGACAATTTAATAACCTTTCAAATGCAAAAACAATAAATAGGGTGTTCCATTTAAATTTTTTAAGTTATTGAACTTTTAACAAACGTCTTCATTTTTTTATCTTTGCAAATGCAACACACTAAAAAAATGTTACAAACTTATAGCTTGTACCTCTTTCTTTGCGGTAGCAAAAAAAATATTTCTAGATGTCTTAGTTTTTGTGTAATAAATTTTTAAAAAGTGCATGTTTTTGTCAAAAAAAACGTCCTATTTTCAAAACTAAGCAAAAGCGACCAATAAAAGTTAGCTTAAAAAAATTGTAATAAAAATCTACATCCAAAAACGCTAAGAAACATATGGTGTTTCATTTAAAAAAAACACAAGTTTGTACTGTAACTTATTTTTGAGACACGCTTTATATTTGAAAATAATTTTTGGCGATGGACTAGATTATTATATTATAATGCCCTATATAATTTTTTTAATTATGCACCTGTTAGTAGTCACTAATGGACTTTTTCAACTCGCTGGGACACCCTGTATGGTTGGTTATCGGTCAGTGAACGTCAATTTTGTTTGTACTTACCAAATCTAGTTGTAGCTATAAATTATACTTTACCTAATAACATATTAGTAAMTTAGATAATTTATTTATGTTATGTTAAATGTGTTTTTTTTACTGTAGGATGTCTACCTGATCAGTTTGATTGTGGAGACTCGTCTTGCATTAACAAAGAATTTTATTGTGACGGATACAAAGACTGTAAAAATGGAAGGGATGAAGAAGGATGCAGTTCCGGTGAGTAGACTTTTTCACAATATTTTTAAGGGGATTCTTCCACATGACTAATTGACCACAACTTGCAGTTTTTTCCCACAATAGACATATATTTTTACGAAAAAAATATATATGATACAACTCATTACGATCAAAAGGTCTTAAACAAAATGAAAATTTTTTAAATTCGGCAAAAAAAATTTGAAATACAGAAAAAAATTGCTCATCTTTGTAATGACATTTGTAATGAGATTTACTTTCGTCGTATCTTTATCCTTCAGTTGTTGAATGTGATGTTTTAATGGTAATTTCATCCCCATCAAATAAATTTTTAATTTAGGTGGTTTTTGGTTTAATTTAAAATCGTTCTATTTGATTTTTTTTGATGTTTTATTGTTGGTTTCATCTCCACCAAAAAAACTGCTATGGTTTAAAGAAACCGCGATGCAAGTGAAACTTTTTTTCAGATCAAAACACACAAATCCCGCGGAGCACTTGCACGAATGAGTAAGAATATAAATGCTACACGGTCAGCTGATCATGCAAAAAAAGCAAATAAGATAGACAGAAATATAAAGGGAAGAATCCCCTTAATTCGTAAATACGAAAAACAACTTTGAATCAACTTTAACTTTTATTCTTCAGGTCATTGTAAAGACGATGAATTCCGCTGCACCGATGGCACATGCATTCCCAATTCTGCATCTTGTGACGGTGCTCGCCACTGCAGGGACGGCAGTGACGAATTTGATTGTCCTCCTCCTCCGAGCATGTGTACAGTTAATGAATTTGAATGCGATAATGGAGACTGCATCCCGAATTACCTGGTCTGTGATGGAATATCGGAGTGTCCTGATGGCTCTGACGAAAGAGAATGTCGTAAGTTTGTTTTTGGTTTACTTGTAATTTTCTCTTTTCCAAACTATTTTTTACCTCAAACGAATCTGTTTTCTGGCCTTTTGGCCAGGGACATGCCACGAGCCTGACTGGTTCCGGTGTTTGGACGGGTTCTGTGTTAACGGCACCCTTCGCTGCGATAACTTCTACGACTGCCAGGACTTTTCAGATGAACAAAATTGCTTTGGTTAGAACTTCATGTTTCTTGCTATTTCTGTTGACGTTTTTAGGTGTATTTGGTGTCAGATTTACTAGGGTTCTGTAGCAGTATTAAACGCAGTTATAGAGTATTCATGTAGGAAATTGTGTTTTTGTAGGTTTCTGGTTTAGAATCATAGATCGGTGTTACATTTTATTCGATTTTGGCCCATTTTAGCAGTTGATCCTTAGAGGCTACGTATTCTCATATTTAGTCTACCAATTTGAAAGCATGATTGTTCCCCAACTTTGATCTTTATGTTTTTTCTTTATTATACGTACTCATATATTTTTTCTTTGTTATTTTGTATAATACTACTGAGGCTTTTTATTAATTTTAAGTTTCCCGTTTTTTTTTTTTTTTCAAACAAAAGTTGGACTTCAAGCAACTCCAGTCGGATGATAGTTTTTGCTTTTATGCACGTTTGTTGGTATTAGGGCAGTTAAAAGTTCATATAATTGACCAAAGTTTAAAATTATCAGTCTACAATAAAAAATTTGTTTTTTGAAAAGAAACCATTGATTTAGTCGATATTAAAGTTTAAAAAAAACATATTTTAGAGAAAATAGTGTATTCACTCTTACATTTATGTTTAATTTGAAAAAAAGTAATTTCAGAAGCGTTATTACTTATCACAATAATTGTGAATTTCTATCTATTAATTTAGACGTAATTTAATGCCTAAGTTTGCGTGTCATGTTTTGCACGATATTTTGTTAGTTTAACATAAACTACTATAATTATGTATGTGGTATTATTTTTTTACCATTTTTGTCAAAATTGAAGTAAGTAAATAAAATAAGAAATTAGTAGCAGTACCAAAGAGAGATCTTTTTTCAAATTTAAAGTTCCATTTTTACAAAACCGTTTGTGCACCATGGTTTTTACTAATTAACATTATTATTATTATTTGATCTTTCTTTCTTAAATTTAATATTCGACCAACAAAAAAATTTCAATTAAGATAAGATACTAGGAACATGGAAAAATGTTTAAATAATTCTATCTATCAAAAAATTTTGATATGTTTTTTTTATAATTATTTAGTAAAGGTACAAAAATTTTGCCAATAAAAGCCACAAGCAACATTAAACAGAGTTACAATTTAGGATACATCTTCCTTGTTTCTTCTTCTAATAGCCTGTAGCAAAAAAACTTGGAAAATTATTTTTCCAACAGAAATAAATAAAGTCAAAGTGCAAAATTTAAACTCGCATTTGGGATACTTTCGAAAAATTTTTGGCAACTTCACCAAACTTTTTGAATAAATACAAGAAAAAGAAGAAAACAAAGAAAAAGCGCCCAAAAGATCAGATAACTAAAACAAAAACGAGATTTTCAATAATATTTAGCAAGGTTTGCAAAATTTTTACGAATCAAAATTTGTACCAAAACAAAAATTAATTTTTTTCCGAGAAAACCAAACAGTGTTATTACTTGAATGAAAAAAATTAATTTTGTGATTTTAAGTTATTTCTACAGAATAAACGAGGTGAAATTTTAAAAAAATGTTGGCAATACTTCTTTCATTTGCTGTTTTTTGATTTTTTTAATTTAATTTCATTTTTTTCAATTTTAGTAATAATAATAATTTCTTAAACAATAATTTTTAATGACGCTGTACCAAAAATAATAATCTTCCATCATATTGCAAAAAAATGGGTAAAATTAGACAATTGAATATAACCCAAAATATGCTATGACATTTAGAAAAATTTTAAAATTCTAAAATATTAAAAGCTATTTAATTTAGTTTTTTAATTTTTGAAATTGAGCTATAAATAAAAATTTTACAGCATCTGTCATTTTTTAAAAATCACCCTGTATTTTTACTTGTTTTAGTTCATATAATAAAAAATTACCTACTATAAAAACAGTGTCAATTTTCTCCAAGATTGTGTTTAAATTTAAAAGTTTTATAATTTGGAAATTATAAAACGTTATACTTAATTTTTTTTTCTAAATCCAGTCTATATGTAAATAAATTCTTTACTTTTTTATACAAGGTGCACAAAAATTATGGAACCAATAAGCGTTTCTTTTAATCATTTGCCTTCAAAAAAAAAACTTAAACTAGAGTGCTATTAAATACCAGGTGAATAAAAAGTATGGAACCAAACGGTTTTCGCTTAAACTATTTATTTTTTGGAAAAACTAATTGATGAATGATAAAGTGCTATAAAATGTGATGTTTTATCAAGGATAAAATTTTTCGAAATTTTCTTTTGTTTTTGAATTCCACAAAAATTTTTTTTTTCAAATGGCAACCCACTATAAAACCATTTTTCTCGTAAAAGTTGTGATCTAAGGATTACAACTATCTACTTTATAGTTATTTTTTTCAAATTTTTTTTTACATAAATTGCAATTTTGACAAAAAAAAATCGCATAATTCAAAAACAAAATAAAATTTCGTACTCAAAATACTATCATATTTTTTATATTACTTTAATTTATATTAATTATTATTTTCTGGAGGCAAATGATTAAAAATAAAACCGCTTGGTTCCATACTTGATATGTATGTGATTGTTGATAATCCTACGTAAATTACTCCCAAGCCACGGGTTGGAACGACGTATTTCCCAACCTCTTAAATACAAAGCCAAAATTTTATTTTTATTGTCAAAATTTTGACTTTTCGTACATTTAGACATGCTCAAAAATAAACCAGAAACGAATTTTTTATTTATTTTGACGTTTTAGGTCACTTTTGAAAATTTTTTGAAAACAGTTTGACCAAACTTTTTGAGCTGGTTTTGATAATAAATACAAGAGAAAAAGAAAACAATAAAAAAGCTCCCAGAATATCACATGACTAAACCAAAAACGAAATTTTTAATAATATTTAGCAAGGTTTGCGAATCAAAATTTGTACAAAAATAAAAAAATTTTTTTCGAGAAAACCACACAATGACCTTACATGGCATATTTCTCTGGGGCGCAAATTCTGGCACATCCTGTATATTCATAATTCAAAAATTTTAGTCCAAAAAATTAACAGAATTGCGGAAAAAACGCAACCAAATCATTGCACTGCTTATTTTTTTGATTTAGTTTCCTTTTGTTTTATTTTGTTTTTGTTCCTTTCTCGTAGAATGCCGTACAGATCAATTCCAGTGTTCGAATGGGACTTGCATAGCCGGTAATTTACGTTGTAACAGAAGGAATGACTGTAGTGACGGTTCTGATGAGTTTAATTGCCCGACTCAACCACCGCCATTTGTAACAGAACAACCACCACCACCGAGACCTCCTCCCCAAATCACCTGTTCGCCAGGCACTCAACCATGTCACAGTGGAGACAGATGCATTCTTCATTCACAATTTTGCGACGGCAGAGTCGATTGCAACGACATGTCCGACGAAACCAACTGTCGTAAGTATCGCAGAGATTTGTGATGTTGTCCTAACAGTAATTCCATGCCAAAACGATCAAAACTCATTGATTTTCGTAAATTTGAGATATGTTATACCGGGTGGGGCCTCCGTTACGCCCAAAAAGAAAATCCCTACTTCTAATTAAATAAAATTGTTGAATTTTTTCACACTTGCCTGGGCATTAGTAAGGTACATTCTCTAATTTTTTGGTAATTTTTCATTCACAAACAAAGCCAAAAAAAAATAAGTAATTTTCTCCCAAAAAATTTAATTCTAATTTTTATACTGACCTACGCAGATTCACTTCCTACACTTGTTTACAAAATCAGATTTTGAATTAAACGCAATTGTCCACCTTAACTTTGAAAATCATTTTTATTTATGACCTGCTACTTGTGCCATCGTAAATTTAGGTGACAATGGGGAACTGCAAATGGGGTAAGATTCCAAGGTTTACAACAAAAAGACCCTTTAAAGCGGTCGGCTACCAGTAAATGATTCTTTTGTTGGCAAATTATACCATTTTGTCATAAATCACGGGTCTGGTTTGTGTTTAAATAAAAAAAAGCGATTATTTGACTAACCAAGTCAAAATTTGAAATTGTGATATCAAATTTTGATGCACTGATAGGTATAGATTCATTTAGTGTAAAAACTTTATAGGTAAATTAACAGAAAGTATTCATAAAACACACAAAACTGTTACGGACTCATTTATTATCCAAAAAAATTAGAAAAATTCTCAAATTATACCCTATCAACAATTAGTTAGGTATATGAAATATCGCCAGTTTTAATTAATTTGAAGTCGCAATATATCAAGTGCGCGTAACCGATGCCCCACCCGGTAGAATGTGTAAAAATAAGTGACACGTATTTTACCGTTTTTTTATTTTTTCTAAAGAAAACACATAATTTATTAACATTTATTTTTCAAAAAATATCAATAATAAAAACAAATTCTTCGGTTGAGTATATATCACATGCTACGTTTTGCTATACAGAGTGTGTCAAAATTCCCGGACCAAGGTGACATGGCATGTAAAGTAAGATACCAGAAACATGAAAAAATGTTAAAAAAAATTCAATCTGTAAAAAAAATACATTTATTTTTTGAAATTTGAAATTTTTTGTGTCTATTTAATGATATTGATTATCTAGTATATGTTTTTTTTATAATTATTTAATAAAGGTACAATTTTGCCAATAAAAGCCAGAAATAACATTAGACAGAGTTACAATTTAGAATACAGCTTCCTTGTTTCCTGTTCTAATAGCCTGTAGCAAAAAAAACATGGAAAATTCAATTCAACAGAAACAAATAGAGTCAAAGTGCAAAATTTAAACTCTTATAACTTCGAATTTTTATAGATAGATTTTTTTTTTCATTTTTTGCATGCTCCTGGTATGTTACCTTACATGCCATGTCACGTTGATCCGGGACTTTTGACACAACCTGTATATCTAATCGACAAGTTAAAAGACTACGATTTTTTAAATAATCGTTTTAGTCGAGCGAAACGCGAAATCTATATATTTTTATTCTAATAACAGAAAATTGAATAAAAAAAAATATAGAGAGTACTCTTCCTGAACCGAGGAATTTGTATTTATTATTGATATTTTTTGAAAAATAAATGTTGTTATTGAAAATCATGTATTTTCTATACAACAGTTTATTAGTGACGGTAATTGGTGATTTTTCTATTTATTTTCCAAAGAAACGCTACTTTCAGGAGATTTTCAACCATTTTTAAAACGTAGTAAAAATATGAAAGTTTTTACATAAATTTTTTGAGAATTTTAAAAACCTGCGAAATTGTTAATTTTTTTGTTTAAACAATATAGTTTTAAATTATTTGTTAATAACAATACATGTATTATCACGTCCGTAGTGTACCTATTTATATCTATTATTAAAAAAAAATCGTGTTAATATATTGATTTGTTCTTTAGATAAAAATTCTTTTTGTTACGAGGTACTTAATTTTGTACATCCTTGTTTTTTCAACATTCATTGAAAGAATAAAAAACGGTAAAATACGTGTCACTTATTTTTACACGTTCTATAACATACCTCAAATTTGCGAAAATCAGAAACAATGAGTTTTAAAAGTAATGGAATTACTCTTAAATGTTTGTGTGTAACGCTTGATGTTGTAACCATCACCTCTAGAACCCAAGGCTTGTTCGAATGGCCAATTTCGATGCGAAAACGGCCCTTGTATCCGAGAGGAGTTGCGATGTAACGGAAAAGTGGATTGTCCGAAAGACTCTAGTGATGAGCTAGATTGTCCATTGAAATTTATTGGACCAACACGCTATCGTAATTATGCGACTGACCAATGATTATTACTTATTTAATAACATGGCCTGTTGTAACTTCTAGTCGGTTGAGGGACAGTAACAAGTTTAAATATTTAAGGTTGAACTATACTGGGAAGTAATGTGTTTCTGGCACACAAGGTGGCGCCAACATATTTAGTTCATTTCTTCGTTTCTTTGTGATATACCAGTGTTTCATATTTCTACTAGCCACTAGAGGGCTTTTTTCTAAACCGGCTTCAAGGATCTCTGATTTATTTAGAAAAATTTTAGTAAGGAGGTCGGTCATACTAGAACCAACAATTTTTTATTTAGATGAATAATTATCTACTATTTATTGTTATACTCTCTATAATTGTCATCTTTTTGACCTTGGAATTAAGGCTTACACTTTTATTTATTACCAATGTAAATTATATTTTAGGAGCTGTTCTTTTTTAGAACAAAGTAATCTAATTACGAATTTATAAAATTATATTTGAATTTTTAACAAAATTGTTTTTTTTTTCCCGATTCAAACTATTGATAGTACCTATGCATCTTATCTTATACAAATGTAAATCTATTTTGTCACATACATTTCACTAATATTAGAAATCTAATTTAACAATAGCATATTGATCAGAAGGTGCGAAACTAAATTGAAAAAAACTAATACTTGGTATTTGCATTTTTCTCAATTTTCAAATAATTAATTGTGCTTTGTTTCTTTTAATTTCGATGACTAAAAACAGAAAGATAAATAGATGGTAACGCCACAGAGATAGTTATAATACAATGAATCAGAACAAACAAAAAATATATTACACAATTTATTAAAAATTATTATTTGAAATTTTTGCAATTTTTACTCTTTTTACAGAAAATTACAAAATTACAGTTTTCAAACTATTTACTCTACCGTTCCGTAGATGGCATGTCTCTAGCCAGTTCCAAAATGTACCAGAAGAATTTGTCGCTTGTGTACAGAAGGAAAGCCGTTCAAACAAGTTTTCAAAAGAAAAAAAAAAGAAAAATTTTTAAGAAATACAGCAAATTGTTTTTTTTTTTCAATTAGATGTTGTTCCTGAATTAAAAAAGTACCTCACACGCACAATAACACCGAGTTTTTATCTCATTTTGAGTATTTGTGACGCATTACAAAATTCAATAATTTTTATTTTTTTTTTATGAAAAAATGCATTATTTAAATTGCATGAAAAAAAGTAGGTAATCTACAATACGCCAAAAATAAATCAAAAAAATTTTCCGTAGTTTTTTAATAAAAAAATAAAAGGTCTATAAATAGAGGTTTTTTTTAAATTCATTTTTAAACGACACGGACAAAAACTTGCAAATTAATCTATATTGCTGCTAAGGCCATCAAAAAGTTATGATATTTTTTTCAGATTTTTTAAATAACGATTTATTTATTTATTCAGTATAGTTCAACCTTAAGCTGCAATTGGGTTCGAATTTAGACCACGTAAAAAATAACTCACTAAAATTAAATAAACTATCTGAAATGTAAAATTATGAACGAAGATTAACATTTAAATAACATTCCACGAATTTTTCTTCAAACATTAATACGATATTTTTTCTATAGCTGGACCCAGCGATGGGCTTAACCTGAAGACCTATCCAAGCTCACAAGAAATTAAAGAAAGTAAGTATTCAACTAGTTTCAATTTTTGCCCCAATATTATGCACTTCTTCGTGTGTATATTACGCACTTTATGTGTTCTGTGTTGTATACATGTAACTAATGATTTTTATTCTCTTTATGACTTGTTGGAGCAGACATTTATAAGCCCGGTGAGTAAATTGGTCAAATATAGCGGGAATGATTTTCATTCAAAAGCGCAACCTTCATGTCTTTCACTTATTTACATAAATCTTCTATACTTCTATAACTTCTCTGGCAGTGTGCGCGAATTTTTATTATTACAATTTTGTGTTTCTACAGGATACCAATGAGCAAATTTCCGATTTTGTTGTAGTTTCAAATATTTTTGTGTTGTGTTTAGGTAAACATAACTTTGAATAAGTTGCAAATTAGTATCCTGTGTATTTTTCAATTTTTTGTGTATTTTTAATATACTGTATTGTAATGCTCTTGTTAGTATAGAAGTGATTTATGTATATCATAATTTGTATATAATATATCGGCTTTCTGGAAGAAAAAAGGCTTACTTTCAAGGGATAACGCTTGTTGCTTCCTATATGTAGTCAGGGTTTTTACAGTGAATAATTGCATCTAATGTAATAGTATACAGGCTGGTCCAAAAGTCTAGAAACGGTTTTATTCTGGCGAAACTATCAATTTTTTTGGCAAATAAATTTATAGGTGTGCAATGGCTGTAGAAATGCTATTCCAAAAAAACTGAATATTAATTAATTAATTATACTTACGAGATAAATATAGGGTGATGAAAAAAAGGCGCCCACGATTGAAACAGGCGCGTCCTTTTTTATTGAAACATTGTGACCATCATTCCAAAAATAGTCTAAATAAATTCTTTTTAAAATTTAAACAGTTTGTCTACAGCACAAAGCGGCAATATTGCACAAATTTCTTTTACTAAAAAGCTATTTCACTCAGGTATTTTTCGTATCTAGGAAACCTTTTTGACTTTAATCGTTCAAATTTCACAGAACAAACAACATTGAAAATTGATTTTTTTGTTGCTAACGTTTCCAATAATTGAATATTACTTGGACATTTTCTGTATCCTAGGATATTTGCAATGTTGCAACATTGATAAATTTTCTTTAGAGCCAAGAATTGGTATCCAAACATCTTCAATAAAGTTTATTTCAATAGACTTTTTACACATTTTTTTAAGAACACCGTCAACAGTATCAAAATCTAGACTTTAACAATGAAATTATTTTAAAACTGTTAATTAAGTAGATTTCTCTTTTCCAAAAAGGAAAGTCTATATCTTTCTGATAAGAGCACAAATCCAATTTTGGTCTTCGAATTCGTCTTTAATAAAAGATCACTTATAACGTGTGGGTTAACACGGGCGCCTTTTTTTCATRATACTGTATAATCTAGTGTTCTACTCTAAATCGTACGATAAAAAGTGTATTAAAGTAAGAAAAAAACGCAAAGGAAGAGAAAAAGTCTGGAAATTAGAAAAAAAAGAGGTAGAATGGAGAAACATCATAACAAATAATAAAAACAAGGTGAAAGAAGAAGTTAAAAGAAGAAATTATTGATGTGATAAGAAGTAGGTTAAAAAAACGAAGAGGGTGGAAGTTGAGCATTTGCAAAGAAAAAAATAAGGAGAAAACCTACACACTTATGAACACATAAAACTAAATTAAAATTTCTGAACTACTTTTTCTTCGGCCTACTGTTAATTTCTTTAAACTCACCCACAATCACTTATAACGTGTGGGTTAACACGGGCGTTTTTTTTTTTCATGATACTGTATAGTAACAATTTTTTTTTTAATGGAAACATTTTGTTTTAGACAACTACTAATATTTTTTTTCTTACATAAAACGGTTATGTATTTATTGTTTTACAAAGATATGTTTATGCATTTTATAAATGTACAAAAATATTTATTGATAATGTTACAATTGATGTTCAAAAAATTATAAACTATCTTTTGTCAAAACTTCTTTCCGTTTTTATTTAAGAAAAAAATTATTAGTATGGTAATCTCAAAAGTTTAAACAATTAATTAAAATAAAAAATATTTTGGCATCGCTGCTTTACAACCTTTAAACATTTATTAATTTATTTCCAAAAAAAAAAAAACTGGTAATTTACTCAAAAAAAATTCTTTAATTCTTGTAAGTCAAACATTTTTTTAACAAAAAAGTGTGACGTTTACAAAAAAAATTGCACAGCAACAATACTTGTAACAAGCTCGTTGTCTAAAAAAAATGTGGTAGGTTTCCATTTCAAAAAAAATGTTACTATGTTTATCTCGTAAGTATAAACAATTAATTAATAATCAATTTTTTTGAATAGCATTTTTATAGCCATTGCACACCTATAAATTTATTTGCCAAAAAAATTGATAGTTTCGCCAGAATAAAATCGTTTCCAGACTTTTGGAGGAGGTAAATATTTTTTATCTTTGGAAGTGGAATATTTTTGTATTTTTTGAATTTGTAAAAGTGGTTTTTCTTTATATTTACCTCCTGTAATAACAAATAAACAATAACAGTTTACGCAAAAAAATAATACAAATAATAGGGTAAATCAGGTTTTACTGTCGTCAAAAATTTTAATATGAATTTTTTAACTCTGTTATAATTTATTTATTAATTACAACTGATATAAATTTAATATAATTTATCAGTCTTTGTATCTTTTATTTAAGAGTTTGTCTTTGAAACGCTATAAAACGTGATTACCCATAGAAAATGTAGGGATTCCAAAAATATCTTAGAAATAGAGTCTGCTAAAGTTCACTACTGCGAAAATAATTGTTCAAAAAAAAAGTGGTTTGTATAAGTAAAAGAAAATTTAGTCGACCCTCTCCAAAAAACACATAAATATTACCATTGGGACTTAAAACACACGATAACCCATTAAAACAATTAAAGGTAACATTGCACCTTGAAACATCTCATTTAAAAAGCTCCATGTAAATAGGGCGCTTAAGTAAACTTTAATCCGAACTGACCCTCCCATAATTAGTCCAGGTGTAAACATGCATGGACTGGTTTCCACCTCTTTAATCCCAAACTAATTGATAATTATTTAATCTAGATCGAGAAGTAGTCTTCCAATGCAGAGATGAAGGTCCATTTAGAGCAAGAGTGCGCTGGACTAGACCCAACGGGGAACCATTACCTCCAGGGTCCCAGGACCGCAATGGTCGACTTGAAATTCCCAACATCAAAGTCGAACACAGTGGAACTTACACTTGTGAAGCCGTTGGGTATCCTCCCAATACACCGGGAGCTCAAGTCTCAGTACATCTCCAAGTCGACCGATGTAAGTACCAAAACCAGTTTTTGTGTTATTTTTTTTCAATGTTACAAGCAGTCGGGAGGAGTAAAACCAAATCGTCGCTGTTAAAATATGGAGTTTTGCCTCCTATAGATACTGAGTATCTTGGGACAGGTACTTTAACGTTAATTGAATGAATTTTTACTAATATCTCTTATTTTGTCAATGCTTTCTTTTTCCTTACGGTAAGTTTAACAGTTTTGAAATGTTATATTATTTTTTTTAACTTGATGACTAATTAATTTTTTTCAGGGATACCACCACCAATCCGGCCACCGACAGCTTGTGCCCTCCACGAAGCCACTTGTTCAAACGGCGACTGCATCCCCAAACATCAAGTCTGTGATGGGAAATACGACTGCACCGATGGTTCTGACGAAAACCGTTGCAGTGAGTTGATTAGTACTAATATTTTGATTTTTTTTTAATATTCCTACAACCTGAGACTCTAAAAAGGTATGTGGTAGAGGTCAGGAAATCGTAGAAGGGTATTGATGGGCGGAGCCAATGCGTGTAGTGGGGAAACTTGAGCAGTGGCGTAACACAGAACCTTCTCTGGTAAAAAGGGAATTGTTGAGTAAAAAAATTATCTATTTTATATCACTGATAATTAACTAATACAAGAAACTATATTAAGAACTTAATTGCAAAATTAATGCGTTTTATTTTCTAACAAATGTCAAGAGTCGTAGCAAATGTATAATTTTGCTTCAAAAAATGGCACCCTACGACACTTTTTTTCAATCAAATGAGTAAAAAAATTAAACGCTGAGGCATTTTTTTACGCTTTCGGTGCGAAATGTATCTTTTATAAAGAAAAATTAACGAAAAAAATGGTGTCCTTTTTACTTTTTTAGATTGTGCTAAAAAAATTGTTCAAATAATAATACATTTTTTTTGTTTTAGGACATTTTTTAGTCAGAATCTCAATTATTTTGAAAATATTTGTGGAAAGGCAAAAAGTGAATAAACTATCACGAAAATAATTATTTTTGCTTCTTTGGAGAGCAAAAATAAGTCGAAATATCACACAATTAATTCCAAAATGATGTTATTTTTGCCTCTTTCTAACATTTAGTTGCGTTTTTTAAATCTAAAATACAGTTTTTTTCATACCAAAAAATTAATACATATACTAGACTAATTCAAAAATGACATAATTTTTGCTCTTCTCAAGCGTTTTAAAATATTTCTCAATAAAAAACGCAATTATTTTGCTAAATTTAGTCAAAAATACGTCAAAAAGTCATTGAATTGAGTAAAAATAGTATTCTTTTTGCTTTTTTTTTAACATTTATTTATTATTTATTTATTTAAACATATTTAACAATTTAACACCTTTATCCACTGTTTATTCAACAATCCAAGTTGTACATAACACCTTTAGCATTTGGTAATTTCATTCCTAATAGAAACCAAAACTTAAAAGTCTTTTTCAATAAAAGAGTATTGCGAAAAAATTGTTTTAAAAGAAATTATCAGTTTTCAAAAAAATGCTACATAACACTTTTTATACACTCACCCCTTCAAATGTCAAGAGTCATAACAAATGTATAAATAATTTGCGTTAAAAAATGACACGCTACGACACTTTTTTTCATTCAAATGAGTAAAAAAAATTAAACACTATGGCATTTTTTTATGCTTCCAGTGCGAAATGTATTTTTTATAAACAAAATTAATGAAAAATTTTACACTTTATCTATATTTATAGATTTACCTTTATCTATACTCGCGAAAAAACACACTTTTCAGCTTAAAAATCCGCTTAAACTCTTGAAAAAGGCAAAAATGACATGCATTTTGCGAAATAATTGCATTTATAGCTGAAAAACGTGCTAAAATGCTCGAGAAATACAAAAATAATGTAATTCTAGACCTAATTTCTTGATTTTTAGTTTGAATCTAATGGAAAACTTGAGATTTTAGTATAAAAACGCGCTTAAAAGTATTTTCGGTAAAATTTTGTGCTTTCTCAGTTTATTTTGCTCAAAAACCAGTTAAATCGAGTGAAACAAACAAAATAACGACAATATCAATCCTTTTTGTGACTTTGGACAAGATTTTGCAAAATAAATGAGCCTCTGGTTCAAAAACGAAGTAAATCGAGTAAAACAAGCTAAAAATAATATCAGTTTCGATTTAATTTTGTAATTTTTTTGCCTGCTTTGCTTTTATCTCAAAAACGTGCTTAAATACTTGAAAAGGAAAAAATAACGCCGCTTTTGGTCAAATTTGTTGAATTTTTGGATTGTTTTTAACGAAATTATGCGAAATAATTGTGAAAAGATATTCGAAAAAGCGAAAAAGACAAAAATAAATTGTCATTTTGATCCCATTTAGTATAATCTTCTACAACAAACAGAACTATTTTTTACCAATCTGGAGGTTTTTCGACTTTTTTGAAAAATGAGGAAATAATCAAGTTTCTGGTTGTAAACGTAGAAGATGCACGAAAAGAGCTTTTTATTTCCAGTGTTTGGATCAGATTTTGCAAAATAAATGAACTTCTGATTCAAAAACGAAGTAAATCGAGCGAAACAAGATCAATTTCGATTTAAATTTGTAAATTGTTAGCTTACTTCAACGAAATTTTTAGAATTTTTAAAAATAACGCCGCTTTCGGTCAAATTTGTGGAATTTTGAAACTGTTTTTAACGAAATTTCGCGATATAATTGTGTTTCTATCTGAAAGTATTCGAAAAAGACAAAAATAAATTGTCATTTTTGATCCTGTCTAGTAAAATCTTGTGAAAAAACAAACAGAACTATTTTTAATTAACTTATTAGTTTTTCGACTTTTTTGAAAAAACTTGACGAAATAATCAAGTTTCTGGTTGAAAATGCCCGAAAAACAGTTTTTCTTTCAAAAAATCACCAGATATTAGACTTTTTACAAAAAATTTCACCAAATCACCAGACTTAACACGAAAATCACCAAATCTGGTGAACTTTCACCAAACTTATCAACAAGAACAATTGCTTTAAAAATGTTATTTATTAATAAAGTAACAAAATCAAAATATTCTCATTACTGTACATATACGTCTCGTGGACTTTTATCTTGGAAATTTTATTCCCTCAATTTTCTTTCTTACATACATTTTTCTTGTATCTTTAACCGTTTTCGCAACATTTTCAAAAATATGACATGGGGCGAAAATTGGTAAATGTTTGAAATTTTTTTAAATATAGTTTTCAATAAAATTTTTGCATTACCTTTATCTCTTATTGGGAATTTAATGCTCTATCTGTCTATATTAAATAAGTATGAATACGCCACTGCTGTCAGCTGATTTCAGAACTCCCTTATACAGGGTGTTTACAGTCTTGGAGTTGAAAATTGACCTAGTAGTAGAAATACTGTAACCGAGAAAAAAACTCACACAATTGTTATTATCAAGAATGTTATTTAACTCCAAAATATTGGTACACGGTTTGAGGGTCACTGGAATTATTTCCTTGTTCAGATAAAATTGTATTGTTGCAAAATCGTATCCGTGACAATGAAAGAGAAAAGTCACTTCATAGTTTTGACACTGTCATCATTTGATTTGCTTTTGTTTTAGTTTTTATCAAAATTCGAAGATCTTCTGTTTAATCTCGTTCAGCGAATGGTTCCCAATATGTTTGATTCGTTTTTCTTAATTTTTCTCCAAATTTATAAACATTTATGGCAAAATATTAAAATAATAAATTGGTTGTCGTGATTATGATTTACGGTGTGACACAAGGTAAAAATAATATCAGTTTCGATTTAATTTTGTAATTTTTTTGCCTACTTTAAGGAATTTTTTTGTTTTTATGTCAAAAACGTGCTTAAACACATGAAAAGGGAAAAATAACGCCGCTTTTGGTCTAATTTGTTGATTTTTTGCATTGTTTTTAACGAAATTGTGCGAAATAATTGTGAAAACATATTCGAAAAATCGAAAAAGGCAAAAATAAATTGTCAATTTGATCCCATTTAGTATAATCTTCTAAAAAAATAAACAGAACTATTTTTAACCATTCAGGAGGTTTTTCGACTTTTTTTGAAAAGTTTCTGATTGAAAACGTAGAAGATGCAGGAAAAGAGCTTTTTTATTTCCAGTGTTTGGAGAAGATTTTGCAAAATAAATGAACCTTTGGTTTAAAAATTTGTAAATTGTTAGCTTACTTCAACGAAATTTTTAGAATTTTCTTTGTTTTTGTCTCAAAAACGTGCTTAAACACTTGAAAAGGGAAAAAGTAACACCGCTTTCGGTCAATTTTGTTGAATTTTGAAACTGTTTTTAACGAAATTTGGCGATATAATTGTGTTTTTATCTGAAAGTATTCGAAAAAAACAAAAATAAATTGTCATTTTTTATCCTGTCTAGTAAAATCTTGTAAAAAAACAAACAGAACTATTTTTAACTAATTTAGTGGTTTTTCGACTTTATTGAAAAAACTTGATGAAATAATCAAGTTTCTGGTTGAAAACCTGGGAATGCCCGAAAAACAGTTTTTTTCATTTCCAAAAAATCACCAGATATTGGAATTTTTACAAAAATTTTCACCAAATCACCAGATTAACATGAAAATTACCATATCTGGTGAAATTTCACCAAACTTATCAACAAGAACAATTGCTTTAAAAATGTTATTTATTAATAAAGTAACAAAATCTAAATATTTTTATTACTGTACATATACGTCTCGTGGACTTTTATCTCGGAAATTTTATTCTCTATAACTTTCTTTCTTACATTTTTCTTGTATCTTTAACCGTTTTTGCAACATTTTCAAAAATAAGACACGGGGCGCAAATTGCTAAATGTTTGAATTTTTTTTAAATACAGTTTTCAATAAAATTTTTGCATTATCTTAATAATAATAATAATAATAATAATAATAATAATAATAATATAAATTTATTTCCAACAGACTATAAGTCTATAGAGGACAATAGAATAGGACGAGTAGATAAAAAAGTACATAAAAAAATAATAACAATAATACATAAAGGAAAGAAAAATTAAGAATTAACTACAAACATAACGAAAAGTAGACAAGAAGTTCGACCTTAACTGATTTAGAGCTAAATTTATGAAAGAAGATGTCCAGATCCAAGCCTTTAATACTGTCATACAATCTAAAACATTTAAAAACCGGTGAATTAAGATGATGAAAAGTATTTGGGGAAGAGTAATAAAATGTAGAAGGACTTCGGTTGTTCATTCGAGGTACAATATATTTTTTTTATCTCTTATTCTTATTATCTATTCTTCGTTACTGTAAATAGTTTATTTGTTTTGTTGAAATAAATAAGTGCCACGCCACTGCTCTCATCTGATTTCAGAACTCCCCTATATCTCTGCGCATCCTTCCACAATTTCCCAAACTATAATTTTTTTTAAAAAGCAGAAAGTAACTTTTATTTTTTTCAAAATTGCTAAATCAGACCCCAACGGATGCGAACCGAACGAATTCCGCTGTGGCAACAAGAAATGCGTTTTGAAAACCTGGCGATGCGATTCCGACGACGATTGCGGCGACGGCTCCGATGAAGAAAACTGTGCCACGAACCCTCCTGGATCACTTTGCGCTTACCACCAATTCGCATGTCATTCCAACAACCAATGCATTCCACGAAGCTACCACTGTGATCTGGAACGCGACTGTATCGATGGTAGCGATGAAATCGGTTGCTGTAAGAGTTGCAAGTTTTTAATTTAGAACAAGTTTTATTAGTTTTTTTCAAGCGATCCCTGTGGTTTCGAAGCCTCCACCACCCATGGTCAACCTCGAGGTTGGCTCCCTGTTCGAAATCACTTGCACGGCAGTTGGTGTCCCCACTCCTGAAATCGTCTGGCGTTTGAATTGGGGACACATTCCACCAAAGTGTCGCACTACAAGTGATAACGGTTTTGGGACCCTCTCTTGTCCCAATATCCAAGTGGAAGATCAAGGCGCTTACTCTTGTGAAGTCATCAATATTAAAGGGACTGTTTTTGCGATCCCTGACACTATTCTAGTCATCAATCAGAATACTGTTTGTCCTGCTGGATATTTTAATGAAGAAGCTCGAAGTCAAGCTGAGTGCATCAAGTGTTTCTGTTTCGGCCAATCTACGAAATGTCGTTCCGCCGACTTGTTTATTTACCATTTCCAACCGCCGTTTGATACTTTGAAACTTTTGGGTGTTCGCATTGACTCGAATACTGGAGTTATTGATATACGAGATGAACCAATTTATCGAAATGCGCAACCTCAATTGACTGGAGTTGGCAGAAATGGTGTTCATACCCAGTTGCCCCCATATGGGCAGATTAGTTCGAGTGATTTAGTGCCATACTTTGCCATGCCAGAGAATTACCACGGAAATCAGTTGAAGAGTTATGGGGGTTATTTGAGATTTACGGTGCGACACTATAATCGAGGATATCCCATAGCAGGACCTACAGTTATTCTCACCGTAAGTTATAAAAATACAAGGGGTGTACACCATAATCTCATTTATATCGATAATCCTAAATAATTTCAAATTTAAATAAAAGTAAAAACTGATGTGATATTTATTAAATAACAGGAAAAGTTGTTTAGAATTAACATCTAGGCCCCTATATCAAATTTCAAAATCATCGACTAACTTTGATTTGTCATTTTTTTATGTTTACTTTTTATTTTTAACTGTTCTTTTATTACGAATAAAATAAATTTACATTTAGATTGCTAGTAATAAATAACTTTTTGACGTATCTGTTAATAAAAAGCAAACATCTTGGAAAAAAATGAAAAAACATCGTAGGCCAATGATTTTAAAATTTGGCATAGGGGCCTAAATGTTGATTCCAAACAATTTTTCTTAATAACTTTTTGTCGCATTTGTCACACAAAAGGCACTTGACTCCATAGAAAAATTTTTTGAAAATCTATTAAAATTGATTTTTCAAAACTAAAATTATGTTAAAAATTAATCTTTAACCAAGCAGGGCTGAACCCCAAAAAATGAAAATTTAATTTTTTTTACCTTTTACAAGAGTCGTTTCACCTATCCGGGGACACACTATATAATATTAGGTAGAAGAAAATAAGCACAATCAACGACAAAAAATTAATTTGAAAACGTAATATTAAACCAATTCTCAGATGAATAATAAAAATGTAAATAAAAATAAATAATATAAAATCGTGTAAAAAATACACAATTCTCAACTTGATTTAAAATTTGACACTTTTTGGTTTTTCAGTAACGTCATCGACATTTTTTTTTAAATGGAAACTAAATTTTTTTAGCCATTTTGGTAGATCTTTTAATTCTTGAAATGACAACACCAAAATATTAAATATGTCTTATATAAAGTTTTCGAGAAAAAAATCATTTAAAGCTAATAAGTTTTGATATCAACAAAAAACAATCATACAATCAAACAGTTTTAGGTCAAGTTGAGAATTTTGTATTTTTGACCTGTTCAAGTATTTCTGCCAAAACAATATATTCTCGGTTTTAAAAAATTAAATTATTTCATAATTTTGACGCTCACTGTAGATACAGTGTGTCCCCGAATAGTTGAAACGACTTTTGTAAAAGATAAAAATAAACGTTTTTTTGAGATTCACTCTTCTTGGTTAAAGCGTAATTTCTAACATAATTTTATTTTTGAAAAATTAAGTATTCTTGGGAATTTTCAAAAAAACTATTTTTCTGTAAAATAAATTTTGTATGCAAATGGAAAAAAATCTTAGAAAAGTATAGAATCTAAGCCCAGAAACCAAATTTTAAAATCATCGGCCAACTTTGATTTTTAATTTTTTTGTTTACCTTTTATTTTTAACAGTTTTTTGTTACGAATGAAATAAATTTATATTTAGATTATTAATACTAAATATCAGTTAATAAAAAACAAACATCTTGAAAAAAAAGAAATAAAAACGGAATTTTTAATTTTTAAAAATTCTTAAACGAAGAGGTGAGTGGATGGATAAAGGTGTCATGTGCATTAACCTATAATTGGAGTTATAAGCATTTTAATATAATTTACTGGTACTTTTTTCTAATTTGTTTTTATTTTTTTTCTTGTTATAACAAAATTTAAGTAATTATGTTTTTTTTTAGAATTTTTAACGATCAAACATGACCCCCTCATCCACTATAATGCATTAGTTTATATTATTAAAATATTAATAAAAGTGTTATGTACCCAAAAACAAGCTTTATTTTCTAATATAAACTTTGTGATGATTATTGCTATATAAAAATATTTCAAGTTTAACAAAACATTTATAAATGAAATTCCAACGACACAACATAATGCTGTCCCGAAAATTTACATTCTCATTTAAAAGATTTTTTTCTTGTTTACTGGTGTAATTTTGAAGCTAGTTCATCGACTTTTCGAAAACGGTTTTCCATATTAACACCAAATTTTTCAATAAGAGACGGAATTATCTCGAAAAGTTTAGACAAAAATACGCCGAAAATTCACCAAATTAAGTGAAAAATAATGAATTTTGCCTATTTACATCACGTTTTTTTGTAAGATTCTATTAAAACATATTGACAAATTGGGTTGAAAATGACCTTTTTATGATTTTTTGGACGTTTTAGCACGTTTTTCGATTAAAAAATTACAAAATCATTTCGTCACAAATCGCTAAATTTACTCAAAAATGGTCTTATTTTTACTTTTTTAGATTGTGCTAAAAAAATTGTTCAAAAATTATACTATTTTTCCGTTTTAGGACGTTTTTTAGTCGGAATCGTAATTGTTGAAAATTTTTATCGAAAATGAGGTAAAAAATGAATAAACTATCAGGAAACTAAAATTATTTTTGCTTCTTTGGAAAATTTAAGCATGTTTTTGAGCCGAAAAATCATCTGGTTGCTTTTCCAAGCGTTTTAACAGATTTTTCAATCAAAAGCACAAAACTTCGTCAAAAATTAGCCGAAAAATCACATAACTAATTCGAAAATGATGTTATTTTTGCTTTTTTCAAACATTCACTTGCGTTGTTAAGTCTAAAACAAAGTTCTTTCTTTAATTTTTGCTAAAAAACATACCAAGATTAATACATATATCAGACTAAATAAAAAAACGACATTTTATGCTCGTTTTAAAACATTTTTCGCAATTATATAGCAAAATTTTGTCAAAAAAAAATACCTCGGAAAGTAATTGAATTAAGTAAAAATAGTGGTATTTGTGCTTTTTTTATACATTTATTTATTATTATTTATTTATTTAAACATATTTTAACACCTTTATCCACTGTTTATTCAACAATCCAAGTTGTACATAACGCCTTTAGCATTTGGTAATTTCATTCCTAATAGAAACCAACACTTAAAAGTCTTTTTCAATAAAAGAATATTGCCATAAAAATTGTTTAACCTTTATTATTCCAGGGCAATGGTTACACTTTACTGAGCAGACAAGACATCAGTCCGCCCCCAAACCGCGACGAAAACATCGAAGTTAGATTCTTTGAGGGCGAATGGGTGAAACGTTCCGACCGCCAACCCGAAACACCCGCCACTCGCGAAGAAATAATGATGGCTTTGGCCGAAGTCGACAACATTTTGATTAAATTGCAATACAGTGAAGGCCCCTTAAACACCACAATTACCAACATCGAAATGGACTCTGCGGGGGCACCCAACAGCGGTCTAGGACCAGCGTCGTACGTCGAAGAGTGTGAATGCCCTGTGGGTTACAGTGGGTCGTCTTGTGAGCGCTGCGCTGATGGGTTTGTACGTCACAAGACCGGCCCATGGCTTGGGCAATGTTACCGAGTCCAACCGCAACCCTGCCCTCCTGGGACTTACGGAGATCCCTCACGAGGAAGACCCTGCGAGGTTTGTCCATGTCCTTTAACAAGTCCCAGCAACCAGTAAGTTCTCAATTGAGAAAATTGTTTTTTTTTTAATTCCGAGTCTAGGTTTGCTAGAACGTGTTCGTTGGGGTCCGATGGTGAAGTCACGTGTGATTGTCCACCAGGGTATGTTGGAAGACGTTGCGAACAATGTGCTCCTGGTTACTCTGGAAATCCTCTGGTTCCTGGAGATTCGTGTCGGGTTGCTTCGTATTGCAATCCCGAAGGAACAAGTCTTGAAGAACAAGGAAGATGTCGGTGCAAAGTGAGTGAAACTTTTTGATAATTCACAAATAACATAGAGGTAACTTTATACTAACATCGCGAAACTTTTTTCATGCCCGTTTCCGTTTACGGTAAGTGTATCAACTTATTTTTGTAATGTTATACATTCTGAAAATAATTAGAGGCAAGGAAATCGTAGAAAGATGCGTGTAGTGGGGAAACTTGAGCAGTGGCGTAACACAAAACCATTCTCTGGTTAATTATAGGGTAAATAAAAATCAAAAACAGTGTTATTTTATAACACTGATATTAAATGTACAATTAACTAATACAAGGAACTATAGTAAAAACTAAATTGCAAAATGAATGCGTTTTAATTTCTGACAAATGTCAAGAGTCATAGCAAATATATAAATATTTTGCGTTAAAAAATTACACGCTATCATTCAAATGAGTGAAAAAATTAAACGCTGTGGCATTTTTTTCACGCTTTCAGTGCGAAATGTATCTTATATAAACAAAAATTAATGAAAAATTTTACACTTCTTTCTTTTTTATTTTCTTATTGTTTTAATTCCTGTTATTTCTACTTAAGTAGTTTTTCTTAATTTTTGTTAAACTGTAATGCAACTTTTCATTTTTCTTTCCTTTTTTGTTTTGTTTAAGTATAAATAGCAGTTGCTAGATCTTCGCCTCCCGAGTTGTATTTACTTGTACGTACAATTCAATAAAGCCGTTTTATTATTATTATTTATTTGACCGACGAAAAAAAAATATTTTTCGTTAGTGGACATAAAAAAATGGGACATCCAAAATTTGCTCATTGTGTATCAAACTTTTAAAATGTCACTCAAAATCAAAATTGTCTCCAATCTAAAGATGACCGTTGAAGTTCTTCGAATCTAAAGAATTGTGTTATTTATAAAATTGTAGTAAATGTAGACAAAATTAAAATCTCAACTTTAACTTGATGTTTCTGATAACATCTCATAACTTTTATAACCTTGTTTGTAAAAAGACAAATTAACCCGATGTTAAACTTCTGTTTTTTGACTTATACAGGGTGCGCCAGAACTCGCGTCCCAGAGAAAAATGCCATGTAAGATAAGATACCAAGAACATGGAAAAAATGTTTAAAAAATTCTCTATCAAAAATTTTGACATTTAACATTTTTTTATGTCTACTTAATGATACTGATGATCTTGTATATAATTATTTAGTAAAGGTACAAAAATTTTGTCAATAAAAGCTTGTAGCAAAAAGACTTGAAAAATTATTTTTCCAACAGAAATAAATAGAGTCAAAGTGCAAAATTGAAACTCTCATAACTTCGAAATTTTTATAGATAGATTTTTTTTAACATTTTTTTTTTTGGGAGTATTAATTAAATTATGTTCCTGTGATATAGTATTTAACTAATTATAATAAATTTTGCCCCGGAAATATGTCACATTAATCAATATCAATTTATTTTTTAAATTGTGCACAACTTAGAATCTTATGGCTCTCAAGTAGGAAAAATATTTCATACGTAGTATTGATTAAAAATGTTGTGAATTTGTTATTGCCCTTCTGAACAATAATTACTTACTTTTTACTTTATTCTCTCGTTTTTAACTAATAAATATGGTATTTTATTCCCTCGAGAATTAAATAAATTAAATACTGATTTTTACTCTTAAAATAAATGGAATTGAATGAATCGAATCTTTTAAATGTTTTTTAAAATAAACAAACATCCTGATATTGATTTTTATTCTTAAAATTGTAATTATTGATTGTACTGAATATTTTGACAAATTATTTTTCTTACGTATTTCTTTAATTTTTTTGGTTACCTTTTGCGCTAGCGGCTATACTGATTTTCTAGTTTTAGAACAGTATCATCGTCTAAATTTATATCTCAGAACTATATGGAAGTAATTTAAACAATTTGTTTTGGCTTGAGAATTTTTCCAGCAATATTGTAAGTACCCGAATTATAAATTACAACTAATGACGAATTCGAAATAAAGCTTATTACCCTACTTAAATAGCCTTTATTTTATTTGCTAATTTACTTAGAGGTTTTTCATAAAAATACATTACTTACTTTAAAAATTAATAAAAATGTCACTTGGAACCTTCTGGTTCTCAGGTCGCGAAATATGAAGCAATATTTGAACCTCAAAAATGACCTATAAAATGATGTTAATTTAAATAATAACTCGTGTCCGATCTCTATTGATAAGAATTTTACAGCCCTCGGAATGTGGGTATGGAAAATATTTTTTTTTGTAATAACTTTAGAACCATTTGATCAAATATTATAAAATTTGGAATAGTTACTTGCGAGAACATACCCTTTAGGCTAGTGATTACGAAAACCGGATACATCTAAGTTATGCGTTTTTTATTCAAAATTGATTACTCTATTATTTTGACCAAAAAAAACGAAAAAACACAGAAAATATGACCTACAATTGCTGGAACCTTAAATTGAGTAGATGTATCCGGTTTTCATAATTACTAATTTGAAAGGTATGTTCTCGCAAGTAACTATTCCAAATTTTATGATATTTGGTCAAATGGTTCCGAAGTTATTACAAAAAAAAAAAAAACAAATTTCCATACCTACCATTCTCAAATGGTTAGTTAGTATTGCAATTTATAAAAGAACAATTATTTTTAAAATGTTATTTAATAAATATATTTGTTTTGTTGAAATACACGCCACTGCTCTCAGCTGATTTCAGATATCCCCCAATATAGATATCCTTCTACGATTTCCCAAGCTTTAAAAATTGTTATCACTAATAACATTCCCAACTTCAGGATTACGTTGATGGTCCGACTTGTGACACCTGCAAGGCTAACACCTTCTTCCTCAGCGGCGAAAACCAATTCGGATGTATCGCCTGCTTCTGCATGGGTGTAACAAGACAATGTAGCAGTTCTAATTGGTTCAGAGATCAAATAAGTACCACATTTACAAGTTCACGTGACCATTTCACTCTTATTGATACCGAAAGAAGAGAACAGCCTATCACAGACGAAATTCGACTGGATCAAAACCGACGTGAAATTTCCTACAGCAGCTTCTCAAACCCCAATGTACATTATTGGTCGCTTCCTCCCCGTTATTTAGGAAATAAAATAGCTTCATATGGGGGTTATTTGAGGTACACGTTGCGTTACGTTCCTCTACCGGGTGGCCAAATATCACGAAATTCAGCCGCTGATGTAGAACTCGTCAGTGTATGTATTGAAATAAACTAGGATTTTTTTTCTGAGACTTGTTTTTAGGCCAATGAAATAACTTTATTGTACTACGCTAGGGAACAATCTCAACCTACTGGAACAGCTCAAACTTTCGTTGTTCCTTTATTAGAGCAGTATTGGCAACGCAGCGATGGCCAAAAGGCCGATCGTGAACACTTATTAATGGCTTTGGCCGATTTGAACGCCATTTATATCAAAGCGACCTACAATACCAACACTAGAGAATCAGCGTAAGTAAATTTTGATTCGTGTTGTCGTCTCTAATAATTAAGACTCGGATTATATGCACGAAAAATTCGTAAAATGTGGGCATATACATGGTGTTCCATTTTTATTGTTACAAATTTAAATTCAATTTTAAGATAAAAGTTTCCTATAAACATACAGGGTGCGCCAGAACTCGCGCCCCAGAAAAAATTTTCAAGTAAGGTAAGATACCAGGAACATGAAAAAAATGTTTAAAAAATTCTATCTGTCAAAAAATTTTGACATTTATTTTTTGACATTTGACATTTTTTTATATCTATTTAATGATACTGATGATCTTGTATATGTTTTTTTACAATTATTTAGTAAAGGGACAAAAATTTTGCCAATAAAAGGCACAAATAACATTGAACAGAGTTACAATTTAGAATACAGCTTCCTTGTTTCCTCTTTTAATAGCCTATAGCAAAAAAACTTGGAAAATTATTTTTCCAACAGAAATAAATAAAGTCAAAGTGCAAACTTTAAACCCTCATAACTTCGAAATTTTTATATATAAAATTTTTTTAACATTTTTTCCATGTTCCTGGTATCTCACTTTATATGGTATTTTTCTCTGGGGCGCGAGTTCTGGCGCACCCTGTATATCGAAAAATTTTATATAAGGGAGCCACATCCTCGGAAAGGGGTGCATCTTTTAATGGATTTTTTCCAATATTTCAGAAACCATCGTGGATAAAATTACAAAATTTGGTACAACTGATAACCTTTATACACCCAAATGAATTTAAGATAAAATGTCGAAATTTTTACTCAGGGGCGTCCTAAACTGGGGGGTTTAGGGTAAAAAGTACCGTAACTATTTTGGCGGTTGTTTTTTGCCCCTTACAGCCACAAAATTCTAAATTTCATAGTTTTTCACAAAAACGAGGTCTCTTGCGTTTTTTCGTTAAAACTTACCGTTCTTGAGTAAAATCAGTTTACAATTTGTCTTAAAGAGGATAAAAATTAAATTTGTATCACCGTTTAAGAAGCCCGTAATTAAAAATTTCGACAACTGATCTTTAAATTCATTCAGGTGTTCCAACTTTTGTAATTTTATCTATTCTGCAATAGTGGAAAAACCCCATTAAAAACGCATTATTTTCAGGGGGTGTAGCTCGCTTACATAATATTTTTTGATACATGTTCATAGGAAACTTTTATCTTAAAATTGAATATTCTATCACCTGATTAAGTTTGTAAGTATAAAACGGAACAGCCTGTATATGCACGTATTTTCACAAAATATGCACAAAAATATGCTCCAATATATGCCAAATATGCATCGACATGCAAAATTTTTAACAATAAAAAATCAAAGTTGGGATAAATTTTTATCCTCGAACACACTAAACTTTATATTTTGGTCATCTTGAACTGCACACGATAAATGAAAGAATAAATAAATTGGTTTGGCGTGAGACAAGCCATGTTAATAACCTAGTAATTAACCCTTTCTACAAAATCTGTCCTTTTCAGATCACATCACGTTTTTTGCTTATAGTATTTATTTTTTGAAAAAACTAATTGATGAATTATAAAGTTCTATAGAAACGTGATGTTTTTTAAAAAATAAAATTTTTCAAAATTATTATTATTTTGTTTTTGAGTTCTACAAAAATATTTATTTTTTTAAATGGGAACCCACCAAAAAAAACATTTTTCTCATGAAGGTCAGGATCTAAAGGATTACAACTATCTACTTTATATTAAATTATTAATTATTTTTTTTACATATGTACAGGGTGTTCCGTTTTTATTGTTACAAATTTAAACAGGTGATACGATATTCAATTCTAAGACAAAAGTTTCCTATAAACATGTATCGAAAAATGCTTGGTAAGGGAGCTACATGTTTTTGCTAATATTTCAGAAACCATTTAAGATAAAATTACAAAATTTGATACAGATGATAACCTTTATACACCTAAACGAATTCAAACATCAAATGTCGAAATTTTTAATCAGGGGCCTACAAAACTGGGGGAGTTTAAGGTAAAAAAAAACCTTATTTATTTTGGCTTTAGTTTCTCGATACTTTCAGCAACAAAATCTTAAGTTCGATAGTTTATCACAGAAAAATCTCTCTTGTATCGATACGACTTATTGTTTTTGAATAAAATTATTTTAAAATTTATGTTACACACCAATACAACATTCAAATAAATCAGAATTTACAGAATAATAAAAGCAAAAGAAATTCATATTTTTTAATCAACCTCAACTAATTAACATTACATTACAGTAACAATAATAACATTAATTAAATGAACTTGCCTAAATCTAAAGGAGTTGTTCAAAGTGACCACCATTTTGGTCAATGCATAACTAAAGAAACTAAAGCCAAAATAGATAGGGTATTTTTTTACCCTAAACCCCACCAGTTTCGGACGCCCCTAATTAAAAATTTCGACATTTGATGTTTGAATTCGTTTAGGTGTGCCAAGGTTATCATCTGTACGAAATTTTGTAATTTTATCTTAAATGGTTCCTGAAATATTAGCAAAAACCTATTAGCCCCCTTTCAGGGGGTGTAGCTCCCTTACCAAGCATTTTTCGATACATGTTTATAGGAAACTTTTGTCTTAGAATTTAATATCCTATCACCTGTTTAAATTTGTAACAATAAGAACGGAATATCCTGTATAAACTTGCGTTTTTTTAAATGACACACCATATGTTTTTTAGCGTTTTTGGATGTAGATTTTTATGACAATGTTTTTAAACTAAACTTTTATTGGTCGATTTTACTTAGTTTTTAACTCAAAAACAAAACAAAATTTTGTTCTTAAAAAAACATTTTTTTATATTACTTTAATTACTAATTTTTTTAAGTACTAATTTTTTGTGTTTGGCTTACGAATTACCGGTTTTCTCTTTAAAATATTTTGTAATCAGGTCATTTTTCGTAAACTGTCCAATTTTTAACTTCAACTGAAATTTTTAATCGAAAATTAATGATTTGAAGAAAATATGGACAAATATGCATTATTTCCTAAAATATGCACCAAGTTGCCAAAATATGCATTTATTTGGCTTATTTTATTCAAAAAACATTAGATATGCATAGAAAACTTACAATTTTGTTGATATACCTCTTAATAATAAATATGCATTTTGCATATAATCCGAGCCTTACTAATAATTAAATTAAACTTAGATTGATTTCGGTGTCTCTGGATACGGCAAACGAGTACAACACTGGATCCAGCGAGCGGGCTTTGGCCGTTGAACAGTGCCGTTGTCCTGAGGGGTACACAGGCTTGTCTTGTGAAGACTGCGCCGTTGGATACACTCGAGCCGAGGAAGGAATCTATCTTGGAATTTGCGAACCTTGCAACTGCAACGGTAACTCCAGAGAATGTCATCCGGAAACCGGGGTGTGCCAGAACTGCGATAACTTCACCACTGGAGATAACTGCGAGTTGTGTCTGCCAGGGTATGAAGGCGATCCCGCAAACGGAATTCCGTGTATTGGGGGAGGCTCACAGTGCAACTGTGACCAACAAGGGGCCATTTCACCGGAGTGTTATAATGGAATTTGTCGGTGCAAGGTGAGTCAAATTTTGTATTTTTTGTGATATTAAGCACGAGTTAGACAAAAATAAAACTGCTTATTCAATTTCAAAATTAAAAGTAACGTTCTGTTTGATTCTGATCTGTAATTGTTGTACAGGGTGTCCCATCGAATTGAAAATGTCGTGACCTTTAATAAATGGTAAAAAAATTTAAAAGTTTTTTGCAAATTTCAATACAAATACAAATTTCTGGTTCTGTCCAAAACAGCTCTCGGTTTTTATAGCACATTTCTTATTTAGTGTGTGATCTCTGGAAATATAATAACATCTGCAATCCGGTTTAACACATTTTTTAAAAATCAATACGAATACATATTCCACCAACATATGGTAAATTTGAAAAGAGGAAAAGGAAGGAAATTTCTAGAAACGTTTTTTACACATTTTTTCATAAAACTGAGCCGAATTGCCTTCTGATATTTTTTTAAATTCAAGCATTTCTTTAAGAAATTTTTAAATGTTTTTTTGCAAGTCTAGAAATTTTTTAATCCAGTACATCTGACACTTTTTTAGTCTCCCCAACGTGTCGAATGACATTTTTTTAAACTTGAAAAAGTCCAACCTTTAAATGGTAAAATTTAAAAAAATTGTATAGGACATTGATAAATACTAATCTAGTGCAACACCTAAAATTATTTTCAACTATACAGCGTGTCCCAAAAATAAGTTACGATACAAACTTGTGTTTTTTTAAATGAAACATCCTATGTTTCTTTGCATTTTTGGATGTAACCTTTTAAATCAATGTTTTTGTAAAATCGTCTTAAAATTAGGTCATTTATGCATTAATTTGCGGACGTAAATAGTGTCTTTTGCGCCCTAAGTCCTAAAAAAACAGCAATTGTAATATCTTATTTTTCTGGGTGTATCGTAGCAAAAATTCATTGAAAGTTTTTTCATAGATTTCTCTTGATTTTCGTGGCAATAACTCAAGTGTTACAGCTTTCGCTTCTTCGTCTAAAATAGCTATTTCTTCTAGTTTTTCGTTTTTGGACATATTTTTACCACAAATTCAACTTCTTGAAAAAACACGTCAATAATTTTTTCAGTATTTTGTTTTTATTTATTTGCATCACATTAGCAACCAACAACAACTTGATTTTTGAGAACGAATCGTGATATTTATTTTAAATATTAAGATTAAAGTTTCCTACGAACATGTATTGAAAAATATTTGTTAAATATTTCAGAAACCACTTTTGATAAAATTACAAAATTTCCTACAGTTGATTACCTTTACAGACCTAAACGAATTCAGATATAAAATCTTGAAATTTTTAATCAGGGGCGTTCTAAACGGGGGGGGGGTGTTTAGGATAACTATTTTAGTGAAGTTTGTTACCATTTCCAACAACAAAGTTTTAAATTGTATAGTTTTTTACAAAAAGAGCTCTCTTGCGTTTTTTTTTTTGATGCAACTTGCCCTTTTTGAGTAAAGTAATTTTAAAATTTATGTTACAGACTCCGCACAGCATAAAAACTTAAAATTAAATTCGTTTTACTCTAAACTCCTCCAGTTTAGGACACCCCTAAATAAAAATTTCAACATTTGATCTTTGAATTCGTTCAGGTGTTTAAAGGTGTAACTTTTGTAATTTTATCTATTCTGAAACAGTGGGAAAACCCTATTAAAAAATGCACTCCTTTCAGAGGATGTAGCTCCCTTAGATAACATTTTTCGATACATGTTCATGTCTTAAAATTGAATATTCTATCACCTGTTCAAATTTGTAACAATAAAAACGGAACATCCTGTATTGTAACCTATTTTTGAGACACGCTGTATAGTTGAAAATATTTTTTTTTAATTTTACCATTTAAAGGTCACTAATGGACTTTTTCAACTCGCAGGGACACTCTGTATAGAGCAATTTTTAGACTTTCCAGTGTTGTCAATTTATGACAAAAATGGTGGATGTGCCGGGGTACTTTAGTATCTATAGAAAATTTTCGAAATGTGTTGTTGTCTATCTATCTAATAAATGTATTTAATGTTTAGACCAACGTGGAAGGGAATCGGTGTAACCGCTGCCGGCCGGGCACTTTCGGTTTAACTGGTGGCAACATCCACGGTTGCCAAACTTGTTTCTGTTCTGGAGTGGCCACTGAGTGCGTAGACGGCAACTTATTCTACGAACAAATCCCGATATTTATTGATGTCGACAGACACGGATTTACACTCACTGATGAGTAATTACCCGCAACAATCATGAAATTTTCCCTAAACTTGTTTTTTTTTAAGGTACCAAACCCGACGCATCGATTCCGGCTTCCAAATTCACACTCCCATGAACGAAATCGGCTACACATTCCGACCGAGCACTTCAGAGAGATGGTTTTGGTCGCTTCCACGGGAATTCACCGGCAACCAAATCAAGTCGTATGGCGGCCGACTTGAATTCACTCAACGTTTCACTCAACGTCCCCAAGCTGGCTACGTCCCTGATAAAAGCATCATTATAATCGGCAACGGCATTACCATTTATTGGACCAATCCGCAATCGCAAATTCCCGATGTGGCAAATGTAACTACACATAAAATATTTTTTCTACTTTGTACCGGGTGCTGCATTTTGGATGTCCGAATAGGGAATCTCCGAAACTAAGAGGTTTAGTCAAAAACCAGTAACACATTCTGGGGCTCATGATTTGAGAAAATAATATTGGTTAAAACCGCATCCCGCTATCGTCTTTTGTTTTCGACTTATAGACAATAATTGACATTTTGGAGAAATCAAAAAAAAAATTATATCTTCGTTATTATAGAAGATACGGATTTGAAATAAAGACATTATACAGGCACTTTTTTACGAGTAATTTAATAGTGTAGTTAACAATTTTTTTCAGTTATTAGTTTAGCCGTAATAAGATAAACTTGTATTTTTTTAAATGGAAATCATAGGCGGCTATGGCAATTTTGAAAAGCTTATTTTTTTCTGATCTAAAAAATATATATTTATAACAAAATATTTTTTTATAACTATACTTAAAAAGTGAAATACATATTTTGTGTGATAATAGTTGGCCATGAAAAAACTATTTCACTCCAAACGTGTAAATAATAATCAATAAGAGTTTTGTGAACTGTAAAATAGATGAAAAAATATATAAGATTATAAAGATTTAAAAAATGTGATACGGTAGAAGTATTGAACAAATATGGGAGCACCTCAGAACAAAATTATTACATATTTTAAAAAATCCAAAAAGAGGAAAAACAAATGTGTCAACAGTCAACACAATTAGAGAAAACATTTTTTTGATGATCTAATGGAGGTAGGAAAACGTTTCACATAGACGGAATTTGGGTATTTGAATAGCCATATCGTCATTTTTGTGTCATATAAAATATATTTTATTGAAGAATTAAAGCGGCTTTTTTTTACAACTCTCTATGTATCACTAGAAGTTGCAATGGTAATGTTAGCTTGTTTAAAAACAAAGAAATGTTATTAGTCGCCAATAAGTTGATTTACAATTTATTTTGCATTTTTTTCATTACTTAGTACTTAGAAAACTCTTTCATTAGTGACACTGGTTGAATATAATATAGTTTAAATCCTTTTAGTCGAAGATGCAACATTTTTTCATGGCCAACTGCAAACAAAAATCAAAGATAATTTTTTGCTAAAAATGTATTATAATAATTTGTTACAAATATATATTTTTTAGATAAGAAAAAAACAAGCTTGTTAAAAATGACATAGCCATCTATAATTCCCATATAAAAAAATACAAGTTTATCTTATTACGGCTAAACTAATAACTGAAAAAAATGGTTAACTACATTATTAAATTCCTCGTAAAAAAGTGTCTGCATAATGTCTTTATTTCAAATCTGTGTCTTCTATAATTACGAAGATATGAATGTTTTTAGATTTCGCTAAAATGTCAATTTTTATCGATAAGTCGAAAACAAAAGACGATAGCGGGATGCGGTTTTAACCAATATTATTTTCTCAAAAAATGAGCCCTAGAATGCATTATTACTCGTTTTTGGCTAAACCTCTTAATTTCGGAGATTCCCTATTCGGACATCCAAAATGCAGCACCCTGTACAGTTGGAGACAAAATACTTTGGTCGTCAATGTCACTTGAGTGACATTAAATTGTAAAGGATGCTTTAGGACTGTTAACCTTATTTTTAGCTACTGTCAAATCATAGTTGACAAGTTTTTGATAGGAAAATATAATAGCTGTCATTAATTTAAAATTGTCATTCATTTTAACGTTAGAGAATTACATTAAAGTGTCAGAAATGTGACGACCAAAGTATTTTGTCTCCAACTGTACGAAACGGTTTTGCATGTCGTACTGAACAAAAACAGTGCCTATAATCCATTTCACTGAAATTGGCATAACATTGGACCATGATTGTGTAAACCGCGCTTTAAATATGAAAGAGGCTTTACATATTAAGACTAAATTTGTCACTTAAAAATTGAGGTTAAGATAGTTAATGGTTATTTATTCCACGAGTTTGAGTGTAAATCGTACGCTTTATTTGACCGAGTGGTTTTTATCCATCATCTACGAGTTGGAATAAAACATTTTATTCTTCGAATTAGACTCAACAAGGCTTTGCTTTAAATCTGTTAAAAATAATTTGACGTTTCCATTGATAAATGCCAAACCGTTGTCAAAACTTCGGAGAAAAAACGTAAATTTCGACAGTGTCGAAGAATAAAATTTTGTTTATAATAATAATAGTAACACATTTATTGTTCAACAGAATACAACACAAGTTGTATTCCAATAACAGAACACAAACAAACATAAATAAATGAATAAACAATCATGTGACATAAGAAAAGCCTACATAAAAAAAAATAAATAAAGATATAAAATATAACAAAAATTATTAAATATAATGCTCATACATATTTAGGAACAATAATGAAGTAAGTTATTTAAGGAACAATGAAAGATATCACAGTTTGCACTTATCTGATTGTAAGACGATACAGGAGATTTTATTAACACATTTTGCAGCCTGAAAATGAAATGTAGGAGTGGTACGTGGAGAGAGTCTAGACGTGAAAAAAAATAATTTGCTTAGAATTTGCCTTTAGTTAAGAGATAATTGCCTTTAGTTTTAAATTAAAGAAATTTAAGAAACTTTTTCTGTACGTTTTCTAGAAGTAATTTATGAGTTTCATAGAAAGGATTCCATACGAGAGAACAGTATTCTAGTTTTGATCTTACTAATGCGAAAAATACAGTTTTCAAAGTTACAATATCATTAAATTGTTTACAATTGCGTAATATAAAACCCAAAATTTTGGCAGAAGAAACAGATACAAAATTTATATGTTCAGTAAAAGAAAGCTCAGGATAAAATACAACGCCCAGATCAACTGAACGCTCCAAAACTGACTGATCAATTCTATAATCATATTTGAGTGGGTGTTTTTTCTTCGAATATGTAACAACCTTACATTTTGAGATATTAAGTTGGAGTTTATTTAGTCGACACCAATTGAATAAGTTTATATTTTTTATATTAAGTTTATATTAGTTTTATTATTATTTTTAAATACAGGACAAACTCGCGCTAGTTTCCAGTGAAGTCATTAACACCCTATCCAAAATTTAATTTTTTTGTTTAAAAAGAGCAAAGTAGAAAAACTACTGTATGATATCTCGTTTATAAGGCATTTTGTCGCACATACCGATATATTACACTCCAAAATGCTTCTTATAAAACTCGTATCATAATACAGTGGAACTCCTCTATAACGAGTCCCGGTTATAACGAGTAAATCGTCTGGTCCTTGCCGTTTTGTATACTATTCTATGTAAAATTCTCTCTCTATAGCGAGAATTTATCTAGAATTTGAGTGGATATAACAAAAGTTTTATTTTGTCTAAGATCGGTAATAGCGAGAAATTCTGAGAAATTTCGGAAACAGATCGGTTATAACAAGAGTTCCTAGAAGAAATAAAAATTCTGCGAGTCTCCATTACGTATTGTGTACCAGAATTTTTTTGGAAATGTTGTTTTTGCGCGCTATTGGTCTTATTTTTCTCAATCTTGAATAACTTTTCAAGCAAAGAACACTTCATCTTTCTGTATCAATATGTCGTCCTCGAAAAGAAAAGCGTTTTCTATCAAAGAATTTGAAAGTGGTAAAAAACAAGCTGTAATCTGCAAAGAAAAAAATTTAGCCAATTCTACATTAGCAACAATTTTAAAAGATTACGAGTTCAACTGGTGAATTTTCGTCAAAAGTGAAGAAGTACATACTGCTAAAAATGCTAAATTAGATAAAGTCGTTTTTAAATGGTTCAAAGTGAATTGAGAACCCAATGTGCCCATAAGTGGGGCCAAATTAAAAGAAAAAGTAGAACAATTTGCAGAAAAAATTGGGGATTCTCTAGAGATGAAATTTTTTGTTATTGGGTGCTTCCACCTGACCACGATGTCTTTTACAATAGCCTTGTACAATTGGGAAATGCAATTGATAAGATAAAAATGCTTCATTACAAAAAACAGATTTTTTTCTTAAATATTGTTTTAAACTTTCGGATTTAATAAAATAAATTGCATAGTACATGTTCAAAAACTTTGAGTTCTCGTTATAGAGGGGTTGTACTGTATACTATTTCACGAAATATTTTTTTTCCGCAGAAAGTGTCCGTTGTGTTGAATCCGAGCTCTAATTGGCAACGTCTCGACGGCAATCAGGGTCCCAGACCGGCCACTCGTGAAGACATCATGACCGTTTTGGCGAATATCGACGTCATTCTTATCAACGCTCAACCATCAAGTGATACCGAAAGTGCCTACATTAGCGACGTTACTTTAGATACTGCCATTGAGCAAAACACTTTCAATCCTTTGACTCGTGCGATCGAAGTTGAAATTTGTAGATGTCCGCCGGGTTATCAAGGAACATCTTGCGAATCTTGCGCTCCCGGATTTTACAGGGATACCAACGATTTTAGCACTGGACCCTTAGGGTCGTGTTCAAGGTGCCCGTGCAACAATCACGAACAAAGCTGCTATTTATCACCGAACAACAGAGTTGTTTGTAATTGTCTACCGGGATATATGGGCGAGCGATGTGTGAGCGGTGGTAAGTATCAAATTTACAATTAAAATTTTACAAAATATTTAAAGATTGATTGTGGGTCATTTTATTGATTGCACGTAATTCGATTTGTCACAAAATTGATTTCAAATTGGATTTTTTTTGAATGTTTGAAAATTTGTATTGCTTTGGGTTTTTATACTTACTAACTTAGCATGCACGGTGGGAATATCAAAAGGAAATTTTTGTTGCTTATAAATATTCAAGGGGTGCGTTCCAGAAATATGTGACCTAATTTTAATACATAAAATTAAAAAAAAATCATATACCAGGTGAATAAAAAGTATGGAACCAAACATTTTTTGCTTAAACTATTTATTTTTTGGAAAAACTAATTGATGAATAATAAAGTGCTATAAAAATGTGATGTTTTATCAACAGTAATATCCCAAGTGCATAAAAATAGCCGATAAAATTTTGACGTTTTGCTTAGGAATATGTCGACTCACGTAAGAAAATCCCGAAATCCCGAGTGCGTAGCACGATTTTGGGTGAAAAATTGACAAGAAATATTTCTTCTTAGTAAATGTTTTGACAAAAAACGTAAAAATTTTGGAACAAACTATTTATTACTTTGTATTTAAATTGGAACAATTAAAAAAGAAAGTACAGTTATGAAAAAAATTTGCTAGTCTAAGCATCTTTGATGTTACTGACTAATAAATTCAGAAGCGATTAAATATTGACGTATTTTTAAAAAATTTAACATTTGCAAGTAATCGCTGTAAAATGGTCATAAACCATATTACTATGGTTTAAAATAAAAAAAAATTGAA